TATCTCCCTTTGGTGTTGAAATGTGGTCCCAAGTTGACGTTTTAATGTGTGCATGACTGATTCAAATTAGAGAATTGGCAAAAGAAAATGTAAACTCGTGCACATTTCCATGCAGCACTGTTATAGGAGTTGAGATAAACAGCTGGCGGCACTCATTTTCTCAGCAGGCCATTAAACCATTGCAGAAGAAAAGGATGCAACGAGTAGGTGTAATTAGAAAAGCACCAGTCAAACCTCAAACAATGGAAAACCATGTAGAAAACATGATGGAAATATGGCATTTATGTTTGTTTCATTTATTCATTTGAGGAACATTGCAGTTTCCTAATTCAGTTGTAGCTTGAGTGGAGTTTTAACTCACATGCTTTATGTATGCCACGATTTCTTCACTGTTTCCATTGTTGCATTTTCTTTTCATCAATACTTTTCTACCTCTGCCGAGTGTAAAAACAGGGATATATGCATTTTCTTGGTGGGCAGATGGGAAAGCACTTTGTGTGAATCAACATCCAAAGCTATCTGCTTTGGTAAATGAGATTCTTTTTGTAATTTAGGTGAACTGACATTTAAAGTGCCCGGTTCTAGGGTACACCAGCAAACATTACACATTTAATTAGACCTCCTTCATTTCCCCAGCTGGTCTTTGGATTTCAGCAGGTTAGGTCCAATGACAGACCAGCTCTTTAACCTTATGATTTTGCTGCCACTGGTATAAATCTGAAATGTGACATAACAGACTATAGGGATCAAACATTTGCCTATTCCTAGCATAAAATCAATACTACATGCTACTAAATGTGGTTTCATCTGTTTCCACACATTGCTCTTGCTCATTCAATTCACACTTCAGTAGACTCCCTGCATAGCCTTTCTGCTTTGCTAAATCAGATATTCTCACAGGAGCTTCCCCACTGAGACACAGCCCTGAGCTACACTTTTAAAGCATCATACTGGAACTGTCGACTCGAGGAACTTTTGACACCTCCTAGGTTTTTTTCTGGGGCACATCTGCCAGTATCAACCGTTCCCCAGGGACTGACAGCTGTCCACACGCTTGACCTTCCAGCCTCGTCATGGTGCTGCTCTGTAACAATACTGTCCAGACTGCATAGGTCAACAGGGGGTACACACAGTCACAATTATGGGTCACAGCACTCTTTTTCTATTCGTGTGGGTTTTTGTGTCTGTCAGTATGTTAATTTATGTCATAAATTGTGTTTTTATATATGATGAATATATAAGGAGGGATAACACTTTTATTAGTCTAGTCAGCAGGTTAGTTAGCTTTTAAACAATTATTATTTCACTACTCTATGCTGTATGGAACAGGATATTTATTGTGATAAATAATTAAAACGTTATGGTTTCCAAGTGACATAATACATACATAAAGAAAAATTACGAAATGATCTTGCTCCTAAAAATGTGACTGTGCAGTTATTTTTAAAAACCTTTTAATGTGCTTCATCCATCTATGTCTCTATAATGAAGACATTGTGGCTCAGTGTCGGCCCATTCATCTGTTTTCTGGAAACATAAGACCAAATGTGAGTTGGCATTGGTCCATGTACATCATGATTTGGCCAGATTTTGGAGGTGCAGACAGGTTCAGGCATAGAATCAGCTCCAGTTAGCAGGACGTATGCCAGCTTTGGCAGCTGGAATTGATATCGCTGTACTTGGGCCAGTCCTGGGAGGTATTTCATCAAAAGTCTAGCGTAAGTCCAGTAATAAGGCCACTTTTGGTCCAAGCCATTTTGGGTATGTCTCACTTATACCACCCTCTTGGATAACTCCGTCAACTCTGATTAAATTAACTAGTTTGTGAACTGAACCATCCCAAGTAAATGTCTCGCTTCTATTTTGCATTGACTTGAGTCACAGAAATAAAAAATAAAAGTTGTAATAAAAGTGTTCTTTCCCCAAAAAATGAATGAACCATTTCAGCATTGAGTGTTTATTTACCCTCTAAATATAAGATACCCATTCTCTTTTATTCTGAAAAATTTAGCTGAATTAGAATGAACAAACACTATGCTTGTGTCTAAAATATGACAATAGACTAAACTGAGCAGTCATTATACTACTAGATAACTTCAGATTCCAATGTCAAGCTCATCCCCGCCAAGTGTTGCCTCACTGTAAATGATTCAGCTGTGCAGCATTTCCACATTAGGAGCTAATCCTTTTGAAGATGAAACACCTCTGAATATATGTCTCAGTTGGCTACTGTACAATGCCAACAAGGATCAAACAGACTGCCTTGTTCTCCAGTAATAAGTCATTGAGGGGATATGCCAGAATATGTACTATCACATTAATTGCCTAGCTGCTGAAGTAAAAGTATTTCCCTCTATTATCTCGACATGCCAGAACGCTGAGCAGTCAACAAATCTAATACTGGCTTCCCTCTGCCTGGCCGGAGAGAGGCCTCTCTATCACTGCTCAGCAGCCACAGGGCACCGCCGGCATAATAGCAATCTCATTCCCTGCCACCCTGGGCTCAGCTGGCACCCAGACAGGCTTTCAGTCATCACTAGCACGCAGCGCAAGATGATATTCAAATGGAGTGTGCAATTAAGATGGATCAGAGTGTGTACAAATAGTATTGATCTAGAACAAGTGTGCAAGAGTGTGACTGCATTAGCAATATGAGAGCAGGAAGAGCTGCATGGCTGTGGAGCTAACATTCCTCAATAAAGAGCTGACATGCAAATCTGCAGGACGCTACCGGGTATTGTCAGGGTTGTGGTGCTATGTTCTCCAGCTATGAACTAGCTGCTTTTCTGAAAGTCAAGAGTTTGCCTCCAAAGTAGGTCACCAAGTGAGGCCTATGGTTTCAGTCTGGCATATAGCAAGACTGAGGAAATCTTCAAAGCCTGGACAAATATCAGTAAAGTAAAGGAGACTGGGTAAATTGTAACAGACCAGTGTTTGACAGAATGTGTGGGAAAGTTGGTAACAATTATTTGGTATCAAGACATGCACAGTTATTTGTATGTACCTCTAATATTTCTGCCTGAACAACAGTACAGTACAGTGGAGGTAAATATGATATTTTTTGTGGTGCTCAGCACTTAAGAATGACATGCTTTCAATAAACTAAAAATCAAACAATATCCCTGTTACCCAGATAACCCACAGAACAAGCTGTCAGCACTTTCCATAGGGTTTGTTTCTATGGTAGAAAATAGCTGAAATGGAAATTGTGGGAACTTGGAAAATTGTTGTCTACTGAGTCAGTAGATTTCAAAAGATGTCCCAAAATAAACCCAAAAATATCCACATGGCTTCCACCAGTTATTATGACGGCAGCCAGTTCATAATAACTTTCTGTCTATTGGCTACTCTCTGTGATATATCTTTTTCAAAGCAGACCTTTTGACTTGTCACAGTATGAGAAGCACAGGTGAGCAATTATTGATTGGCAGGCAGGGAGTTCTCTGAAGCTGTGAGACATCATCAGCAACCCCTGCATTGGGCAGCCCGGCCTCGGCTTCACACACTCCCAGCAGTGGGGAAACGCAAGTGCAAGAAACAGGTGAGACATGGTCCAAGCAGAAGTACGGAACCGTGAGGAAGGGAAGCAGATGTCAAAGGCAGTGGAACAAGGGTCCCAGGGCGCCTGGAAATGGGATCTGTCCGCAAGAATCGTTGTGTTGTTGCTACCCTAGAATGAACTGTTTATGTCCACAGAGTCCACCATGTGTCTACAGCAGCCCAGAATGGATGAACCAAACACTGGCTCTAGAAAGGGCCTCTTGCGTTTTTTTCAAGTTTTGCGGTCAGAGTAGTTTTGACTACAAAACTACACGGCGAGGGTGTTGCAATCAGCAACTACACTGCTAGAGGCCAGTTAATCTTACACACTAATCCTTTAAGGGTGGAAGCACTCAGTGAAGGTTAGGCACCACCTACTCCAACAGGTGTGTGTCGCAGTTCAGTTTAGGTGTTTATGTCACATTCATGTATAGGAACTATAATACATTTGACTTTCTGAGTTGTAAGTATGGTTTAAGTCAACCTCCAACATCATAATTACAACCGGAAAAGTTGGACTCTTCTAAAAGCTCTTACATATCAGACTTTATAAATAGACCTTTTTCACCCTAGAGGGCACTTCATTACATATTCCCTACTGGAAGGGCAGCCTAGAGGGCACATCATCATGTTTTCATGCACATTGGGTCACTGTAGAGGGCAATTTATCATGTTATATCCAGGGGCATGGGCAGACTTTTTCAACTGGTTTGGCACAAGTGGAGTACTGACTTATGCTGGGATGGCATGTGTCTCAGCTTTTCAGTCATTCCCAATTTAGACAATTCCAGTACTGTTTATGGACCCCAGTATATAGAAGTATTCAAATACATTTATAGCATGTGCTTTTTTGCCCCAAAATACATGGGATTAGCATAAAGTTAGCGTACGTAAAGGGGAGACTTATGGGAACGATGATGGGGTGGCCAATCAGATTTCTGGTTTTATCTACTGTAGGGTCATTCTGGAAGGCACTTGATCAGTTCTCTCCGCTGAAAGGGCACTTCATCGTGTTTTCATCCACATTAGGTCACTGTATAGGGCAAACTACTATATACTGTTTATTTTTCAACATGGGTAACAATTTATAAAACATATCTTATGAGCTCTTCATATGTTTAATATGCAAAAAGTGACAAGCTTGTCAAATAATTGCAGTGGTGGAGTAAAAAGTACAATATTTCCCTCTGAAATCTAGTAGAAAGCATGAAGGTTAAAGTACAATTACTTAAGTACTTAAGTAACAAATGTTATAAGTTAAATTCCACTACATAGGCTACAGCATAGTGGAACCATGACATTGACAGCACATATTAATGGCATAACACCTCGGTCGAAGCCAGATCACAGGAATAAGAGGAGATAATAAGGACTAAGTGATGAATGTGAGTCACGCTGTGGACGGAGGCGTGGAGCCAACTGTAGCATGCAGCTCTCCCCCCTCTTCCAGCCCTGGCTCCTCCGCGGGGAGGGGGGGAGGAGGGGAGGACTCACACAACTGCGGCTCATGATCGCCTTCCGTGTGTCGCCTGTTTCTGTGGAGGTGTAGTAGTCATGACAGCCTCAAACACTGGCCAGCAACCCCCACCACCACCACCTCCTCCTCCTCCTCCTCCTCCCTCGACCAGCTGGAGACGGTCGATTGCGGCGCATTGCTGTGCTTTCCCTGTTTTCTCCGGCGTTGTTTTTGGACCGGGGTGTCCCGCAGTGACCATCGACTGGCTGCTGGACTGCAGCAAGTAGTCGACCTACCCCCACAGAGAGCTCGGGCATGTCATCTGTCTCGAACAGTGTGATTTGGGCCGATATTCGCTTGACCACTTGAGGGAATCAAAGTTGGTGCAATGGAGACTTCGGGCAGCGATGCAGCGGTCACTTACTTGGGCAGATCGGAGGAGAGAGACGGGTTTTATGATGTGGAGCACCTGCCTCCACTGCTGGAAGATGAGGTGAGACAGAGGGTGTTATATGTTGATTTTAGAAGATTGTACATAATGTCTCCAGTGTTCTGGCACATCATCTCATAATGAGTTCAAGTTGGTTAGATTACATGATTTTCATAAACGCACCACCGAGGAGTTCTTCTTCTTCTCTTCCAAAAACACGTTACTTATTCAAACTGCTGGGGCTTTCTGAAGGCCTTGGAATGTTAGAATATTTAATTAGCACTCTAATTTGCACCAGATAACAAAGATGCTGTATTCTTCTTCATATGGCTTTATGTATTTTATGTGTGATAGACTATATAACTGTCTATATTCAGATCCTACAGCAAAAGTCCTGCATTTAAAATTCTACTTAAGTAAAAGTGCAGAAGTAGTAGTTAAAGTAGTGCAGTCTAGTTTTTCCCAATAAGGGGCCCCAGAGAATGATTATTGGAGTAGAAAAAACTCATACATATATTTATATTCATTCTTTGGACTGAATCTTTGCTTTTCTTGTGAAATAGTGGCTCGTTTGACCTATTTTAGGCTTTGAAAAGCTATTTTATCTAAAAGAAACCATCTGATCTTCAGGTCCCGCCGATCTCTTGGTCTCTGTTAGATGTCTCACCTCTGAAATGAATCTTTGGTGGAACTTTCAACTCATAGACACCTGAAATGTGAAAAGGAACTCCAAACTCTGTTTTTATAGGGGGCCACAAGCCAAAAAAAAGCAATTGTGTCGTATTTTATAAGCTCATCATCCAATGAATGTAGTGCAGTACACAATTTCCCTCTGAATTGAGTGTAAGTATAAAGTAGCATAAAATGGAAGTACTCCAGCAGTATAAGAGCATCAAAATTGTCCCTGAGTAAATGTACTTAGTTACAATTCACCACCAGCTATAACTTCATTGGTGGACATGAACCATTGTAAGAAACTGTTTTTTTAGTGGTAACTTAGTTACCTCCTTTTTTATTGAGTGATGGGGAACTTAATTTCTAGGAGAAATGTTACAAGGGATCAAGGATTAGACAATATACTGCATTGAGTAAATAACAAATACGCAAACTACTACTACTTTCTTTCACTATTCCTGTCAGTCCCTGCATGCAGAAGCACACCCCCACCAGCCTCACCAAAACCTTAGAGCTCAGAGGCAAACTTATGTAGGACAGCATATTTAACTTGAGGGGGGTGAGAGAGACTTCTAGCTTCCCTCTGCACTGTTCTCAAGGGAAACTGTCTATTTATGGGGCTGGTGCTGCTGTTGCTGCTTGAAGTGGCACTTTTCTGCCCTGTAATTGTGCTCTACCCCACTAGATCACATCGATATGCTTTGTTCACAATCTGCCCCAACTCCCCTGCACCTATAAAAGTCATAAAGCAAAACAGACACTTCTCCTGCAGCCAGTGGGACTGAATGCTGCGATTCTCAGCTGTTGAATATTAAAGAGGTTACAGGCAGTAAAATGAGTAAAAATAAGTTCCCATTGAGAGATCCTCTGGTATAAATTATGTCATGGAAGGAAAAAACAGTATGTTGATGGAATGGAAGAGCTGGACATTGACACTTACTGCTTTGTGATACCCCCACACCCCCCCACTTTCTACCCTTCTATCTGAGTTAAGGCCAGCTTTTGTGTTCACTCACAACCCGAACAGAAGATCCTGTAATAATCAGACCGCAGCATTATGCTGGACGCCGCATGGAATCTCTGAGATCACTGCGTCTGCCAGGATAAATGGGGCCATTTGGTAATAGTGGATCACAGATGATGCAGTGTGTTCATGTGGGTGTTTAGAGTCACTCCGTGGCATAAAAAGGGTGTATGTGCAAGATGTCATGTACCAAATGCCCTTGCTATTGAAGAAAATATAGGATTTTCTGGTGCAAAATTAGGGCACTGTGCAAGGTGCTGTCTTTGAGGATTTGAAACTTGCTTGAGAGCGGTAATTCATTACAGTGAACAGCTTGTCAGTTTTTATTTTTTGTAAAGAAGTCTGCAGATACTTTGAGATATAGTTTATACAGGTAGCCCTCTCTTTAATATCTCTGCTTAGGGATCTCATGCTACCGGTCCGCAACACAAATTCCCAGCATAGAATCGTTTGCACTGCCCTTAAATTGACTCTTTATTTTTTCCCCATTAGACTGTTTCCGGTTTCTTTTATGGTGATGATTTCATTTCCTAGCTGCAAAATCAGAGCAGAAATTGTCTCTTTATTTCAAATGTACTATTTTCCAACAACACTGATTACTGCAGTGCACCTGACATCATAGTTTCTCTTTGTAAAGCTGAAAGAAACGGTATTCCTAAACACACAGAGCAGCATGACAGGTACAGTGAGGAGCCAGCGTGTAGAAAATGTAGATTTATTGCTGAACAAAAACACTTTTTCCCCCAGCGAGTGTTCAAGCTAATCTTTTATGAGGAAGGAAACACATTGAACACGTTTGTTGGCCCTCAAGGAATCGCACAATGCTTTTGAATGAACATGGACACAACTTTTGTTTGTTTATAAGGCAACCCCGTTAATTTACTGGATCATCTAAGAACAGACATTTGGTCACCTTATCAGTTCTTACCATATCTTCCTATCTGTATATTTGCAGTAAGGCACTGTATTGCAGTATCACTGTGTGATGTAGTGCCCATCGCCACCCCAGCAACCACCTGTTGGATTCAGTTTCTCCAGGGTTTAGGTAGAACTTTGTTATCTCCCTCCAGCGTCCCTCTGTGCTGCAGAGAGTGATGAGGTCAGAGCCTTAATACCAAACTATTAACTGTGCACACTCTGTATTTACATTTTAATAAATCCGTTCCACATGAGCTAGCTGACTGAAATGCTGTTGAGAGCATAGGGACTGTTTTGAAAACGCTTCTTTGACGGTGCGTTTAGGTGCTCATGGAGTGGAAGGAAACGTGAACGCTCTCTGGTCTCTACTGCCTGACATTAAAATGTATGAGTCAAGTCAGTGTTATTTATATGACCCAATATCACCGACGACAAACTTGCCTTGAGGCAGCTTTACAGTTTGTACAGCACACAACACCTCCTTTAAAAAAAAAAAAACCTTTAATGGAGGAAAAGAATTGAAAAAACTTCAGGAAGAGCAACAGACATGCAATATATGTGGAGTGTAAAGAATAGTACAATGAAAAATAAATCGCTGAATCATATATTAAACTATATATTATTATTAGACATTGTATAGTTTCTGTGTCTATGTAAGGTACAGCCCTAATTAGTTGGGATGACATCTACACTCTGCCTCCTCTATTGTTTTGAGACAATGGCAAATGGTTGATCTAGCTAAATAATTACAAGCTGTTGGAAGAAAATGGACAAAAGGCTGAATTGTGCTTAAGGCGGGTAATTAGCAAAGAGTAAAGAGAGTTCCTCATTAACATTTGGCCTCACACAAGTGGTGTATTAAACCAGAGCAATGATGCAGATCAAGCCCTCAAAATTCTGTGTGTGTGTGTGTGTGCTTACCTGGACATACTTGTGTGTGTGTTCACAGGAGAATGTGTCTCTGGCAGACATCCTCTCTCTGCGGGACAGCTGTCTGTCGGAGGAGGAGGTGTGGGCTGTGTGTGCAGAGTGTGTTCTGGCGCTGCAGAGCATCAGACCCTCCCACCTCTTCCACACCCTGTGTATAACGCCAGACACTCTGGCCTTCAACGCCCATGGGAATGTTTGCTTCATGGAGCAGCTCAGTGGTGAGTCTACAGCACGGGCACACTGCCATTTATATATTTGTACAATTAGGAAACCACTTACAGGACATATATACACCTTCATTGGCACTTATCTTATTATACACCCCATTTTTGCATGAGATTTTGCTACTGATGAAGCTGACTGGTAACATATTTTTATTATTATTCATATTTTTTGGCACATGTCTTCTCATGCACAGAACATTTAGAAACCAGAAGACATAACAGATTAAATCAGAGCTGCACTGCAGAGTTTAAATGTGAGGTTGTACCTTAACTGCAGTTGAAGCTCTGCTTGACGCAGAGAGAAGGTACCTTTTTCTCTTCAGTGATTTGTTGCCCTGATCTGTATCACTTTCGATTTGCAAATTCCTGCTTGAAAACACTCTATCAGTGTCTCACTGGATCTGTCAGGCTGTGCTGAGGTCTGCAGGTCTGCTCTGATTTACCCAGATGAAATCTCTCTCCTTCACAGTGCTGTGAGGCCCTGTGACACTGAATGGAAAAACATCCTATCGGGAATTATTATCCCTCACCTCCTCTCTTCTCCTGTCCTCCCCTTTTTCTCATTCTTTTATCTCTGGTATTCTCACTTTTTTTCCTCATTCTCTTTCTATATAATTCTTTATCTTTTCACTTACACCAGCGCTTGAGGACGTGCACATACACACACGCTGTTACACACACGCTGTAGCACACACACGCTGTAGCACACACTCAATATATGCCCTAATGCCAAATGTCAGAAATTGATAAGCATTGATTAGATCTACGGTGTTAGAGTTGCCAGGGGGAGCGTTGTTGTGGTAACAGCTTGGTTAGCCTATCAGAAGTCGACCTGCGCTCACACACACACACACACACACACACACATTACACAGCCACAGCAAGTGTTGCATCCATTTATCTCCATGCAAATCTTCAGTCAGTAATAGAGACACTTTGAGGAGATGTTTTGATTACTCTGTCAGATAAAATCCTTCGCAGCCTCATTTGTTGTTGTGCTTTATTGGATTGTGTTCAGTCCCTCGGCTATGATTCATCCCGTGGATGGAGAAAGAAACCACAGTGCCCACATTACCCTTCCTGTGTTAGTTGTTCGTGCTGAACACAGTGCATCTGTATCATTAATCACAGCACTACGCTCACCACTTTACTGGCTGCACAGTTTCCCGTCGAATCCATTTAGTTGAAGTCTTTGTGCGATAGTGATGAAATTTCGAACTGATGCACACTTGAGCATCCAATCGCACACAAACAGGCTCTCCCTGTGAAGCTGTGACCTTGAAGGCTGCGGTGATGAAGCTCAGCGAGAATAGCTGTTGCCGCAACAACTCATCAATAGGGTTCATTTCAGCTCATTAATTACTGCAGTAGTAACAGGAATGTGGTTGTATGGGACTGTGGGTGATGCCAAAGTAAGCAAATGGTTTTGTTGATGACTAAGAAAAATTGCTAATTTTCCCTCGAGGTTTAGCCTCGCAAGCTGTTCCGTTCCTGATAAAACGGGACTGGTCGTGCTCTGTGGGAAATCTGATCAGTGCATTTGGAAAGTGTGTTGAATCAGTAATATTGCTCAGCTCTTACTACCTGTTGTCCCAAAATGCTGTAGGCATACATGACTCACCAAGCTCTCACCATCACCCTGGAGGCAACTGCGTCACTGACAACTGCCGTCTTTTTTTCTCTCATTCACTGCCTATTTCACTGTTACAGAGCTTCCTCACTACAAAGGGTTGAAATATTGTGTCCTCCTTTTCTGCTCCCGTCTGTCCTTTCTCCTTGTTTGTTTGAACTGGCAATCTATGTGAGACAAGAGGAGATGAAAAAAGCAAAAGAGGGGAGAAAAGGAAAGAAAAGGGAAGAGTAAAAGTAATGAGAGGGGAGGAGCGGTGGAAAGGGAAAAAAGGAAGCATAGATGAGTACAGGAGAGGAAAAGAAAGAGGATACAAGATGAAAGGAGAGGAGGAGAGGAATTTAAAGATGTGAGGAGATTAAAGGAAAGGTAGGGAAATGAAAGGAAATGAGAGAGGAAAGGAATAGAGAAAAGTAAAGGAATGAAAGGAAAGGACAGAAGGGGATTAGGAAGGAACAGGAAGGAAAGGATAAGAGGAAGGATAGGTGAGTAAAGAGGAGAAAAGCAAAGGAAAAAAGGATAAGAAAGAGAGGAAGCTAAAGAGATAAGGAGAGGGCGTCATAGTAGTAGGAAAGGAAAAAGAAGAGGAGATGAGGAGATTAATACACAGAGAGAGAAGAGGAATACAAAGTGAAAGAAAGGGGAGGAGAGAGGAATAGTGGGAAGGGAAAGAGAAGGAAAGGAGAGGAATGGGAAAAAAGGGAAAATGGGAAGGATAGGAGATGAAAGGAAAAAAGAAGAGGGGATGAAATGAAAAGGGCTAAGGAGGAGGGGTGAGGCGAAACGGAGCGGCCTCCCTACACCTGGGAGGGGACATCATAACTCCAGTAGACAAACCCAGATCTGTCATGACCCACTTTACTCCCTTCCCTCCCTTCCTTCTCTCCTTTCCCTCCTCTAACTCTGGGTACAACCTCTCTCTCTCTCTCTCATTCTCTCTCTCTCTACCTCTCTCATCCCAGGTCCAGCTGAGGGGGTGCATGTTTGTGCTGATGTTTTCCTGTGTCTGTGTGTCCTGCTTGTTGCCAGTCTGAGCAGAGGCCTACTTCAGGAGGCGGCTGCAGCGCTGCTCCTCAGTGGCTGCTCCATCTTCTGATCTGCAAATATCTCCTGTCTTGTTTGTCGGGGATTATCTCTGACACGAGAATTATGCAAATGAAGGGAAGCGGCTACGCTAGCTCACTGGACTGTTGTGGTTTAGCATGCGGGATACATATTCCTCTGATTTGCATCTCATTAAGATGGATGCTCAGCAAGTAGGTTACAGTACAGAACTGGCTATACATCAGAGTGTTGACATCAAACGACAGATGCACCGTTTGTTCCCTTCTGATGACATTATGATGTACTGTATGCTCTTCAGACGCGCTTAATGGTGCGGCTAATTGGTACGTTTTGGTCTTGCAGATGATCCAGAAGGCTCCTTTGTGCCTCCAGAGTTTGACAACACAGGCAGCACATTTGAGGTGAGAGCTGCCGAATCTTCTTATAGATTTTAATCTGGTCACAGTTGCACGCATTCGCCCCTGGGAGTTTCACAGTCACGGGCACCTTGGTTGTGTTTGCTGAGAGAGAGGAGAGTGTTGCTCATTCTCTTTCCTAAAATAAAATTCCCCACACAAGCCAGCAGTCATTCAGCTATAAGCTCACCTCCGTCTGATCAGGTGAAATAGGTAGGAGGCAGTACTCTTTAACAGGAAGGTTGCGAGGAGAAAGCAAAGGTAAACTGTAGAATTATTACCCAAACTAACCTAAAGTTAGAGGCCATCACAGGTCCATGTAAGAGGAGACCTCTTCTAAGACCCCTGTTCAACGAGGGTTTATATTTGCTGCCGGCACATGTTTCTTTTAGAAGTTGAATGTCCCAATTTTTACTTTGGTCTGTTATTTGGCATATGTCTTTGTCATGAGTTGTCTCCAGCTTTGTTCCAGGTGTGAAGTCCTGTTCCAGCATGACGTTTTATAATATCAGTTAGGGGTATGAATTCATTACATGATGTCGAATGTCCATACACTGTTGGGTCGTCCTTGAGTGTTCCCTTACTCTGGAACTGAAGCTGTGTTTAATTTTTTTTTAAATACGATCGATACCTCAACCAGGACATTTGAAGTGATATACAACCAAATGTATATTTTAGGTGTAAGATCTTTAGTGGTTGTCTTCTTGTCATCTGATATTAGTATGAACTTCCCCTCTGTGGTTAGTCTCTCATTTTTAGCAGTGGTGTTACTGGAACCTTCCAGTCATTAAGTAAATTTACTCAAGTACTGTACTGGTACTTTACTTGAATAATTCCATTTAATGTTATTTTATTATTATTATTATACTTACATCTATGCATATGTTTCATACTTTAACACTACATATTGTACTTTTGACACCAATGCATTTATATGTATTTATTACTTTTCACGTTGAGATTATTGATACAAAAGATTATGTTTTAATATAGGTTAAGATACCCAGCAGTACATGAAGTAATAAATATTAGCCACACCTGCAAAATTAAAGATAGTATTTATTGTCCCAGGAGCGAAAAACATAATACACAAATACACAAAATACACAAAACAATTACAGTGGACATGTGGTCATATATACACCTACTCCTTCATGAGTCTAATGTAGTGTATTATCATTGTGAAATGGGCCACAATCATTTATGCATGTCAGGCAGTCGCTCTTTACCTAATTGTGTAATTGTGCGCACACACAGTTTTATTACCAATATGTGTGCACTCACTTTTAGTTTCACCTCTGAATGCAGTGGTTGAGATAATCTAGCTAAACTGTTTTTTTGTTTACAACCTGTATGGTCACCTGACTTTGTATGCTTCTTGCCCATCAGCACAATATAGTCTGACTCAACCAATGATAGGTTTGGTCATGATGGCCACAGCTGGAAGAATAAAACCCCAGTTGAAATACACCAGAATTATCCTGTAATGGTCACCCATTTGAATCTTATGACAGGTATGATCTGGCTGTAACTGGCTGTGAGTGAGGCACTTAAGCATGAACTCTTTTAGTGGAGCTGTGTATTAACATACATCATAAGGCAGAATATACCAGCAGCTCCAGGTATGAATGTGTCTGTGTACTCCACTGTGTGTACAGATTGTCTTGTTGTACTTCTGCCACTGGATCTTTTTTGTAGGATGAGTATGCATTATTTTTAATGACTATTGTGGGTTTAATAAATGTTATTTATGCTCTGCCATCATTACTGATTGGATCTCTGTAACTTTTATATTCCTTTTTAGAGATCTCTCTATACATCTGCCCTATACTAGTGTGCTATAGGGGAAATCTGAAATATGTATTTTTGCTGTGAAATAGAATAATGCCTCTGATGTGACTGGATTCAAAAGCTTTTGGCTTCCTCTGTGGAAATAAAGAATTCAAATGTGAAGCTCACACACTGCCATTGAGTGGTGTCACTTTTCACACCATAACATGAATAAATTTACAGTAGACTTATGTAACCATCTTTCAAAATAAACCATGCATTCTTATTTTTGCTGTGTAATAACACAAAGTTTTTGTCTAACAAACAACTTCTTCACTTCTCTTGTGTTTTTCTCTAGTGTGTTCCCCTCAAGGGAGATATTACGCACGGCCAAAGTAATAGTGTAAGCAAAACAGGAGTTAAGGCCTTCAGCTGAGCGTTTACTCTTCTATTTTGGTGACCCACACTGGGATCCGCCTTGCACATGTGTTTACCACATAAGTATGGGTACAGTCCACTTCAATTGTTGAAAGTGATCGTTACGTCCGAGATTTGAACTCTGAAGCACCTGGTTCAAATCCGCTGCTGCCTTAGACCTGACCATAATATCCACTGTCAGAGCAGCAAAGCAAAACAAAAGCTCTGTCATAAATATGTACAATACATGACAATTACTGCCCAAAATGGCAAGAGGATCCTCTGTTTTTGAGCCTTTTCTATAGCCATTCATAGATTCAGATCTCTGTGCTCGCTGTAAATTCACAGCTGCAGCTGGTTCCTGAAAATGATGATGATGGTGTTTTCGCCTCCTTTATCCCCGGCTGCAGGGCCATGTTTACTCGCTGGGCTCTACGCTTTCTGCCGCACTGAACTTTGTCATTGAGCCAGAGCTGGAGGCAGAGCTGGGAGAAGAAATCCAGAGGCTGCTGGAGCAGATGCAGGAGGAGAAGCCTGAGGACAGGCCGCTCCTGCAGGTATTAACACCCTGCTGACTGTTCTATACTGCTAGAATGATTTATAGAGAACTGCATGGTTTTAACATCATGAGGCAGGTGTAGAATAATTTGAGATCTCACTTGAGCAATTGTGTTGTCATGGTGTTCAGAGGAAAGAAGTAAAATGTCGGAAATTAAGTCATTATGTGTTTAGTTAAGTGTTAAATTAGGTTTAATTCAATGCAAAATTAGTGGTAACAACTCGTATTAGTGATTATTGCGCTTTCAGATTTAAATTCTTTTAGCAACCACATGTAGTAAATATTCAGTAACTAACAAAACCCTAACATAAGCATAAAACATAATGAGATAAAACCATAGAGAAATAAATTAATGTAATTTTAGAGTCATCATGACCCAAAGAGATGGTTGGTGTGGTCAGCCCTGATTATGTCGTTACACAACAAAGTCATAAAATATATCCCAGAACTGCACTGCATCACCGTTCCTTTACAGTCACATGTAGAGCCACAAGGGTCCGAGAAGTGAATGTGTTTACAGTAATTATGGCTGCACATTTAAGTCCATTTTTCTGTTCACTATTAGTGAACTAATGGGCACTACATAGAGTCAGTGCTCTTGAGCAGCATCAAGTGGAAATTCTGTGTCAGTGCAAATCACACAGTGGGATTGTCCTGTATTGTCACAGCATAAACTTCAAAAGGGAAAAACTATGTCTAAAAATATGTCTAAATTATTAAAGATAACAACACATTTCATTAACAAAATGCAGCCTTACAAAATAAAAGATAAAAGACAAGTTGTACTTGTATTAAAGCATGTGATAGATCATAATGTGACCTGAAAATATGTCAAAGAAAAGTGGTTTTGGCTCATAATGACAAGCATAGTTTACTTCAGTAGTATACTTTGTAAGTGCGTTACAAGATTCACAGAACACTGTTGCACATCTTAGATTTTTATTTTCTTCACAAAGAGAAGTAAGTGATGAAATGTAAAATCGGAACAGAAAAGGTTATCTTTGCACACCTGTGAGTAGACAGACGGATTCGCAGGAGAATAAGTGATAAATCAAAGTCACAAATCAGCCCCTGCACACTGTTGACACTTCCGGTAAATTTATTGAATAGCTACGCTTTGGTCCAGTTACCTTTGACAGGCATTTCATATATAAATGACAACAAGCCTGCATACAGTGTATTCTTACATACTCGCAAAGAACAGCAATCAATGCAAGGTACAGCAGGCAGTCAACCATCCATAAAAAACAACACATGGGAAGGGGCAGGGGAAGAGAAAACATATTTTTATTTCCTATTCAGGTGAATTCCACATGGCATTCAACCCAGTTAGATGAACGTTTAAAGATTAAATTGTCTATTGTCAACAAAACCTAAAGTATAAGAAAATACAATCAACTCCCTTATCAATGTGAAACACCAAAATCAGTAAAAGGCATTTAATACAAGAGAATAAATAGAAAACTGCATAAAACAACATGTGATATAATGCACTGGAACCCATAATGACAATAAAAAGCTCAATAATATACAGAATATCCAAAATACACTACAGTTTATCCTTACGATGGAAACCTAACTTCTTAAATATACAATCAAAAGCACTAATTCCAAACTCTAAGTGACTCAAGTTTGCATCTTATTTGAGACAGATTTGTCCAGAATATTCCATTTTGAATATTGCAAACATGCAAGTTTGATACTCCCACAGGACATCCTCTCTCTGGCTGAAGCACGGCTGTCTCATACCTCCTCTGCCGCTGTGTGCCGGAAGCTGTCTTCTATTGGCCGACGGGTGCTGTCCATCGAATCAGTTTCAACCTTTCAAGGTGATTTTATCATCTCAATTTACAGATGTCACTGTTTGGTCTCTGCTGTGATTTTCTCCTGGTACTAATGTCTCTCTTTGTATATCCACAGATGGCCAGGAAGGCTCCTGGGAGGCAAGATGGCAGCATCCCAAACCCAGATGTCTGCTTAAAAGACTGAGCTCGGATGATAATAGCAAAGAGCTGTCTGTTGACAGTTCTGTTAAAGCAAATGGTCTGTCCAGGCAGCAGGTATGTGACAGAGTGAAGCCACAACCAGCAGCTAATAATTATAATAATACGTTTTATTTATAATGCCATTTTCATCAAAATATCTCAAAGTGCTACAGGTTAGAAACAAAAAAGATGAGCAGTTTTAAAAAATAAGAAAAGGAGAAAAGAATAAAAAATAAAAAAGGTTTTTTTTTTTTTTTTTTAAAAGCTGCTCTGGAGGAAGAAATAATTAAATTCTTCCTCATCAGTTTAACTTATCTACCACCTAATGTTGGGGAAAAGCTCCACAGAAGTTTTTTTTTTCTGCCAGAGGTGGAAACACACAATCTGCTGTGGAAACTGTCAAGAGGTGGCTACACATAACAAAGTCAACATTTTTGATTTTACGTATTTATCATTTATCCTGAATTGAGTTTTTTTCCTTTTAAAAATTAAACATTCATTTTCTTAGGTCTTGGATGGTCTTTTCCTGGGAAAACAAAGCTACCCCTAGTGACTAATGCCTGAAAATTTCAATGGATTTGTGCTTAGCCCAGCAAGTATTTTAAGTGTTGTAAAGGAAATTATACAATTCCAAGGCTGAAATCCAGGCCAGACCTCATTCCTAGGTGCTTGTTAACTGTAAGCTCTTTGCTGAGGTTTCCTTGTTGGAACACTGTGTACCCATTACTTTTGTGATTTGTACAGACTGTGGCAAAAAAAAACGACACTTCATGATGTTGTCAGCGTTAGCTCTCACTCATTTTGGTTTATTTCCTATCTTGTGCATGTGCAGCCTTCTCAACAATGACATTGCTCAGAAACCAGTCTGAGTATATATGTGCCTTTTACTGATTCTACTGTAGTTTTGCAGTTATCTAAACCTGGATCCTTTTATGCCCATTAATGTATATGTTAGAGTTAGTTAGTTATATGTTAGTTATTATTTTCTATTATTATAGATTTTATTATTATTATTATTATTATTATTATTATTATTATCTGCAGGTGTGTGGGGGCTGGGATTCCTCCCTCTGGGCGGAGGATTTTGACAGCAGTGAAGGAGATGGCATGATCTTGGCAGATGACTTGGATTGCAGGTCCCACAACAGCTCCCCAGTGAGGAGGAGGGCCCAGCAGAGGGTGAACAGGGTGAGGGGGGCTCTTAACCGCTCCTGCTCTGTCCCAGACTCCAACAACCCCCCTTGCCTTTCCCCTCCAACTCACGGAGATATCAGCATACCTGTGTCCGACCTCACAGAGATAGGAGCGGATGAACACTTGAGCTGCAAGTCTGTGTGGAGTAACAGACTACAGAGACTCAATCGGGGCAAGTCCTGTGAGTCCTACCCACACAGTAGCACTGAGGACTGTGTGAACTCAGTTGTGGACTGCCAAATGTCGCAAGTAAATGAAGATGCTTCAGAGACATTATGCAGTGGAGAAACTCAGACTCAAGGAGTGCATGAATGTGAGTCTAATAACTGCACCCAGGATTCAGCATCTTCCTGTACCTCCTGTCAGGAGCTGGAAATGGAACAGGACTCTTCTTGGGACCAGAGTTCGTTAAACCACAGCCTCTACATTCCTAATAACCACATGACCAAAAGCATGCTGTGCCTCAACGAAGAATCTCAGGATGAGGTTAGCCAGTGCCTGATGGCTCTCAAATCTTTGACTTAGCATCTCAGATTGTTTTTCACAACCATGTCTGGTTCTGTTATGGAGGTCCACTCAAGAGCTGTCTGTCTGTGAATAAGACTGTGGCTATATTTGCCAGCGACAGAGGCTGCTGCCTGGGTTTTCATCAGCAGATGAAGTTTTCTTAGTTGATGTGGACATTTGTTTATGTTTTCATTATGTGACCTAGCTATAAAGCTTTGGTTTATGTGATTACAAATGGTCATATGTTGGGCTGACCACTTACAAGCTCTGGAACGAAACTAGCGAGTGGACCTTGTTAATATTTCTAGGGTCAAGAATGTACTTTAATTTTAACTCTCTGTTTTGTAGCTACAGCTAGATAGGTAGCCACGAACAGTATCAAGTAAAGCATTTCATGGGTACCACACCTCAGTGCAAAGTTCTCCATTAACATCTGATGTTATTTCCTGCAGTGAAACTCTTTAACATTCTCAGTATCATCTGCTTCTGTCAGAACAGTTGCTCACAACTTGTTTTATAAGGCTTTTAATGAAGTTGAATTGTGTAACGTTTTAAGGGGGAAGTCGTCCGTCTCAAAGAGACAGAGTAATCACATAAGTACTTAGCAATAATACGCAAAAAAAGGAATCTGCAAAAGTGGAAGAGCGAACACTTCCTTAAGACAAATCTTTGCTGAACGTTGGACCATTCAAAAACAGAGTCTGAGAAAGTCAAGTCAGGGATTACTACAGTTTGAGTTAATTAGGTCTACTGAGGGATCAGCTGAAGCTCAGAAGTCTATAACGTATTCCTTTTCTGCTACTACTTAAACTGTGTTTGCTCTTTATTTTCTATCCAGTGGATCTCGCTCAGAGAGTTGCTTGCTCGGTGTGGACGGAGGCTGACAGTTAATGAGCTGTGGGCTCTGTGTTACACCTGCCTGTCCTCACTGCAGACCTACATTGACTTTCCAGGTAATTTTCACCTCTTCGTGCATGAAACCAGTACTTATAAGTACTTAATATGAACTGCTCCTGCAAGAACATTTGAAAGCACAACGTAAGAGCACAGATCTTGTAAATGGATTTTGATTTTTAGAGGAGAGAAGAAAAGGTGATTTTACTACATGGCTTGCATTTTGTTGCAATTCTTCTGTGCAGCTGATTTTTCTCTTTTCCATTAGCTTATTTATGCCTGGACACAGTGCACGTGGGCTGTGAGGGAGAAGTACTTTTCTTGAAACCTAAAAACATAGGTAGGTCTATACAGGTTGCTGCACAGCAGCAGTTGTTGAAAATGCACAGTGTACTCAAGTATATGAGGCAACAATGTCTGGAGGCTTTTGTTGACTTCAGTAACTGACTGTCAGTGTTCTTTGCAGGATCCAGAGATGAATTTTATCTTGCTCCTGAATACCAAGAACATGGAATTGTGACAGAGAAGGTCTGCCTGTCTGGACAGCTTTCATTTACGGATATTTAAAACTAACTTTCACTAATCATTGGCTTTGGTTGTAGCTTTTTCCCTCTTCTTTTCTGTGTTGCCTCAGGTTTGTGTGTATGGGGTTGCTGCTATTCTCTGGGCTACAGCCAAGTTCAGTTTATCACCTAATCAAAAACTGGCAATGCCTCGCAAACTGAAGAGACTGCTACTGGAGATGGCAAAGAGGACACCCATTGAGAGGCCTACCATCGTCATGGCTATAAAAGTATTATTATTTTTATTTTGACATTTACTTTTTCCATTGTTTGTTTAATCAAACAATCCAGCAGTTTTACTCAATTAAAATTCCTAGAAATATAAGTAACAAATTAAAAAAGAGAAACAAACTTTGACTTTAAGAATGGCTTTGATGAATATTTCTGCTTTCTTTATTATAAAACATAAACTGGGCTGTGTGTTTGAACTGAAACCTGATTTAACAAATAGACCAACAGCTTAAACAGAGGCCTCCCCTCAGTAATCTTTCATTCTCTGTACTCAGTGTTTGAGCTAGAGGTGAGGGAACGGCTGATATTTACAGGGAAGCTGAAGTAGAAGGATATTGACTTGGTGTCCATTCAGATACATAACTCCACTTACTGCAGTTTCATTTTGCAGGCCCCTAAGTATTGCACCTCTTGTCTGACTCAGATTTACTATCTCAAATGTATGCCCACTACAAGAGGCTTCTGAACAACCCTGGCTATATACATCGTGAGGACATTCTTTGATAAGAAGGCCCCTGTTTGTGGTATTGGTCCCACTACATTTTTAGCCAAGGTAGTGACATGGCTCTATGGCAATGTCTGTCACCTGGTGATCCCCTAATTCTTCATGTACTGCCATTAAATTTCTAATTTGTCCAATACTTGGCTACATACCTGCAACAGTTACAGTTGCTCAAGGTGCGCCTGTGACATTATAGAATAGAAATAAAAATAATAATGATATTGCAATATCTAACATATATATAATATAAAACAGAAAATGAATATATAGGTATATACATATACATATAAAAAAAATAGAAATATAATAAGAGCCTAAGTATGTACATTATAATACAATATATGACAATATAGATAGAAGTAATGTATGCTACAGTCCTGCCCTGCAAAACACTTTGGATTGTATTTCTGAGTATGAAAGGTTCTCTATAAATAAAGCCTGATTGGATTTTGCATATCAATGTGCACATATCACAACTTCAGAAAAATAGACATATCCTCTTTGAAAGAAAATCACTTGTAATTTAAAGAGAGAAAATCCAATTTGTAAAAGTGCTATGCCATTTTGTCAATGAAGGACTCTCCTAAAAAAATACCATAATTTACTTTTATTATTATGCTGTCAGTCATTTAGTAAAAGTAGAGGTTAGTTTTCCACATACTGGATGTTTTATTTTTAATCAGACACTTCAGTTGTTTCAGGGCAGAATTAATTGCAACATTGTTGGTGATCGTGCATGAAGTGCCCCGTATTGTTATCACACTTGTTTTCATGTGTGTCTCGTCCAGAGCTGTCGTGACTACTTATCATGTCAAGGGACAAATGCTGAGACTGTTTGGAACAACCTCGTCAGCAGAGTTCACCCGGTAAACTTTCCTTTGTTTTCACCACAGATACATTTACACCTTGGTGTCTTCAATTGTTTATTTATTGCATATTATTTCAGCCTCAATGTCAGTCAGTTGTTTTTATTTGGCCATACTCTTAACGTCTGTGTTGTCTCAAAAAAAGGATATTTCTGTTATAATGAACAAGTAAAATTTTCTTTCAGCCAGTGTCCAGTGATGCAGATGATTTGAGTGCAACTGAAACTCATCAAAGCTCATGTGAAGAATCTGCACAAAACATCAGCGGTAGGACAGCTTTACTTTAGTACGGATGACCCTCATGCAATATAGTTTATCTTGAAATGGACCAGTGCCTGAACTGGACCAAATAAAGTGCCAGTACCCTAATTCAGCACAACCCTAACCACAACATAACCCTCACCCTAACTCTTTATCCATTTTAACAACATTTTCAGTGCTCTCTCAGTGCTAAGCTCATGCCTAAACCTGACCAAACAAACAAACAAGAAAGCCAATCAAAAGCAAAGGAGGGTGCGTGGCACCAGCATTCCACCAAAAATCTGAATTGCCCGTACATAGCGGTGACTGCAGGCCCACTTCAGGCACTGAAATGTACAGTATTTTATACACTAAATGTGCCAAATATCAGGAAGACCCTTTGAATCGTGCTATAAAGAGGCACTGCTGTGTTAAAGATGTCACTTCTTTTCCATCTAACATTCACAACAGAAGAAGATTCAGTAAAGAAGGTAGCATGGCCGCCCTCTGGGATCATGCCATATTAGCAGATCTTCCTAATATTTTACACATGTTGTGTAATTTACAGATGTGCATTGCATGAGACAATATCACTGATATTGTATCTGGCATTGTTGTAACTGTGTGTAGGCTTTGTGCCCATGGCCACTGAGAGCCGACTGGCTCCTGTGCCTGGCCCTGTTCCCCACAGCTATCCAGTCGACCAGGAACTCCAACTCCCAGAGGCCTTCACTTCCACTGCCACACACTTCACCCCCATCATCCTGACCAATGAAGGGGACTCAGAGGAGGAGAGCCAACACCTTGGAGCTGCCATTGAAGGGTAGGATGTTCCAGAAAATAACATTAATGTGTCTTTTTTAAAAAGCAATTCAGGTAAAGGTTATTATATAAAATAACGAAACATTTTGGTTAACTTAACTTAGCATAGATAGTGGAAATGGGTGGAAAACAACTATACCAATTCCTCAAAAGCTCACTAATTATCATTATATTTTATTGGTTTAAAGGTCCAGTGTGTTACCTTTAGAAGACCTATTTTTCATTTTCATAAGTCTGAACACTATTTGATGACCTGGGAATGAGAACAGGCTGTGAGAGTGTAGGAGAAACGGGCTAATGTAGAAACATGGTGGTTCAACATGGCAGCCTCCATGGAAGGCGTCCTGCAAAGTCTTCAGTTAAAAATGGCTCATTCTAACAAAAACACTATTCCTATATTCAGGTGATTATACACTAATTAAATCATACCTATGTATATTCTATTTCATTTCTGCCAACAGATCCTCCTAAATGTTACACACAGGACCTTTAAAAATAATACATTAAAAGAAAAGAAGCAATAAAACTACTCCAAAACTACCTCCACAAAATGCTTCATAGCTTTTTATTTTACAGGACTATGGATGGATCAACAAAAAGCAGTGAACACATCGAGGAAAGGGACCTCGATTTCGCTTTGCACTCTGAGTCCCTATATACTGCACAGACTGAACCCAATCTACATACACAGGAGTTGCCTGTTAATGAGGCTGTGGTAACTACAACTTCCAGCGACAAGATGCTGGTCAACTCTGCTTCTACTCTCCCTGATATTTCCTGTCTTGAAGTGTCTCTTCCTCCGCTATTATCTGCTAACCTCAATGGTTGTGGTGTTTTCAACAATTACCTCTTCCGTCAGGATCCCACAACAGGACATCTTTCCTTAGTGCCTGTGCAGGTTAGGGCTCCAGAGTCTCTCCTCGGGTTGGATATAAATCTCTCCCTGGTGCCACAGCCTTTACAGGGACTAATCGCAGTTCCAGAGAACACTGATGCTCCATTTATAAACTGTCTGAATGTGCCTGTGAAGCCTGAACCCCAGGATTATGGCCCATCATCATATTTCAAAGGCAGCGCCATCTTTTCTGACAGCCCCCTGGAGCACAGTGTTCCCAGAGCTTACAATGGACAAACAGATCCAGGAACACAAGGTGAGAACCAGTCTTCTTCCGAGTCCATCTCTCCTAAAGTCCACCCTGCACTACAGGAGGTGATTGACCTGCTCAAGGGAGAGTTTTCACTTGATGGGTATTTGGACAATGGACATGAGGAGCTCGCCATGGGTATGTATATTTAAACTGTAATGTAATTCTATTATTGCTATCATGTACTATTTTTACCATTGATGATTTGCTTTACAAAGCGATGGTGAAAAACCTACTACATTTACAGATGGGTGACAAATTAAAGGAAGGACCTTTAATAGTCTGATGAGAATGAAAATGATGTGAATCAATGGAACACTTATGGGAGAATGGAAAGGGTTCCGGAGACTGTGAGGATTGTGTTGGTTTTTCCTTTAAATTTTCACCCATGTCCTGCTTCCTCCTGGATGAAAGACCTGATTCTTTTCCTTAAGCTAGAAAAGATCAAATATTGCATTAGAGGGTCGACCCAAAAATTCCATGATACATGAGCCCCTCTACTATCTTATTTTGAGAAACTTGAAGTCCTCCCACAAAACTGAAAATCACAGAAGGCAAATAGCCTACTAAATTTATTTATTTTTTTGGTTAAATATTTATATAAATTTGTTTTTTATTATTATTATTTTGATCTTGTATATTTTTATGCTTGTAACCTTGTCAGTGTCACATTTGAGGTGTGCTTTTCCAGTTTATTCTCTTTTTTTTTTTTTTTTTTTTTGCACTGGCATGGTGGGGACGGGTGGGGGGAAGAAAATAAGAAGAATGATGAATATCTGTGATCAATGCTCATTTTCTCAAATAAAAACATGTAAAAAAAAAAAAAAAAGAAGCCAAACTTGTTAAAGTTTGCTCAAAGACAAGACGCTGTATACAAACATTGCCTAAATAAAATAAAGTCTGAAATTCAAAAAAATTAACCCCCCCCACCCCCAAAAAAATTTTAAAAAAATTGTCACCCATGTGCATTATGCAGTCATTTCCAACCAGGGGTAATTGTACACCATAGAGTACTTCTGCTGTTGCCAGGGAGTACGTGGAAAGTTTATGGAGTAGCCGAACTAATATCCACATACTGAAACATCTGTAACACCTCAACACCATTTGTTGCAATTGAGAGTGTGTGAAAACTAGTTAGCAAGCAGGTAGAGAAGTTGAAACTGTTAGCTGAATAAATAATAAAAGTAATGGATAAACAGTTTACATAGAAAAAGAAAGGATATGTGGTGATTTGTATAATCCAGTAAAATTACAAACACTCATATTTACAGAGAAATCAGTACCACAGGCCTAAACATGGAACATTCCCATTCCCCTCAGTTGTCTGTTTGGTGGTATTTCTTCTTAATATATTATGCATTTCTGGGAATGTTCAACTTTGGTTTTCTAGTTCTAAGAAGATTCCAAGAATCTTCACACAATGTACCCCTATGATTATGTAAATACCCGAAGGGAAAGTTGTTCCTCCAAGGTTGTTTGTAACATTGAGATTTTTACATTAAAATAATTCTAATAGTAGTTCTGCGAATCTGACTGATGATGTGGGATTGTTACACCATTTATGCTCCATGTCCACTGCACATATAGTTTGTACAGGGGGAAAATATTTTTTTACCAGGATGACAAAATCATGACCCGCCCTGCTCTACCTCTGACTGGCTTACCCTGACATTCTTCATGCCTAAACTTAACCAACTAAACCATGAAGGCAACAAGTACAAGCCTATCAGAGACAGAGTAGGCTGTTGGGATGCCTCTAGGTTGAGATCTCAAACTCACTGTATCCATTCAGGATGGCAGAAGTACTAGAAAGCTGCAGTGTTACAAAGAACAGATACCCCATTGTCTTAAAAATCTGTTTTATGTTCCTTCTAATACCAGACAGATCCTTCACTGTAGGCATTTTTAAAAAGCAATAACCCATCCAATAATCCTGTCTTGAGCTGTTTAGACATAATCATATAAAGAAATTCGACTTTTTCTCTTTTCCGAGGGGAGTACATCTTCTCTTTGAAGGACCTCCAGTACCACAAGTTTGCCAGTGTTGTGAAGGAGAGGTTCAGGGACCTGTACTGGGAAGACGACTTGCTGGGTGTATTGCACTGCCTGGTTAACTACAGCCCATCCACACTGTGAGTAGGATTTCAAACACTTGTGTCTGTGGCCCTGTTTACACCTGCCAATAACATGTGACTTGGGTTATCTGATCACAAGTGGACAGCTCTAAATGCAGGTGTGAGATCCCATTGCTCAGACCACATTTGGAGGTGGTCAGGGCCACGTTCTTTTAGCAGTGTTTTCACCAATGTATCCTGGGCCAACTCGAGGCGTCTGCGTAAGAGGAAGCATATACTCATTCATGCGGAAGCGGCGCCATTAAAGTGCAAAAAAAAGGGGAGTGTCAGTGTTCACACCACTGGAGGAGGAGGTTTAATAAAGCTAATAAGGCTTTATTTAAGCTAATAGGACCACTAGCTGCACGGAAATAAAGCTATCTGTCCATCAGAAAACTCACAGAGAGTTGAGGCAGCCGGAGGACATCAGGCGAAAAACCAGGAAAGAGTTTGTCCATGAAATATGATTCATTTTTACCAAAGTTATAAAGTGGTGTTTCTGTACAGTTATTTGTAGGGCTCAGCCTCCAGAAACACTGCCTCCAGCAACGTGAATTGTTTTTCTAACCTTATTGTCATTTGTGGTCTGATAAACAGTAGCCTAAATTGATCAAATTGAGGTTAAAAACAGTAACGCAGGTGGTCTTTTCAAACGGAAATGGTGTACGTGTTCATTTGCATTTAGAGCGGGGAAGTTAGATCCACTCACAAGCGGTCACTAGAGACGCATTCTAATGCCAGGTGTGAACTGACGTACTTGGAGCTGTCCACTTTTGATCGGATCACCCAAGACGCATATTAATGCCAGGTGTAAATAGGGCCTATCTTATAAAACTGACTGACAACAAACATTTCTTTCTAAATTTGGACCACACAAAGCAAATGTTGTCAATGTAGCCAGAGGCACAGCTTGTTGCCTTGGTCCACTGCTCTCTTCAGTAACCGTTTACTCCGTAAAGAGGGCAGGCTGAAAGGTCTAGCTCTGCAGTGAGCTGTACATCCTGCTGAAATGGGACATAAATCAGCAACACTTTAGAATTAGGCAACAAATCACACGCCTGAGTAATGCTGAGCTAATGAATGAACTGCAGGTTGATCATATACAGATATAATCATTAATGTTGCTCACTATTAAGAAATTATCAAATCACTCAGAGTTTATGTGATTAGTTGGCGATTAATGGATCATCAGATTGTGAATGTGAACCAACAGTTACTTCATACATTAATTCATATGCCACCAAATTAACTGGAATTCAGTTATAAAGAAAAGGGCGACGAGCCAAGCATTTGATCCTCTGTGAAAGCAGAACATTACCAGTTATAGAAACATGAAGCTATTCTTATCAAACTGGCGGTCAGATGGAAACATCGTCATTTATCTGGATGATCCATATTTTTTGTGGTTGTTGAAGGAAGTGGAGTGCCGCACGAGCACAGAGGAGTGCACTTAAACCATCTAGCAGGTGTCAGCTGACCAATCCGGGGAGGATGCACATGACCAGTCGGGATGTTTAAGCCGAATGTCACGCAGCAACATGTTGGTGTTTGCATATTTGACTACCAGTTTTGTGCATTAAATAATCACAAGTTTAGTTTGCATTACTTAAGCATGTGTTTTGTATTTTTTTTATTATAAAGTGAATACATATAAACTGAAATGATTGGTTGATTAATTATAATAACTATTTAAGAATCAATTAGTTGTTTATTGTGTGATGCTAAACATTCCTCAAAGGTGAAAATCTGATGCTTTCCTCTATTTTATATATTTAATTGTTAACTGACAACTGTTGGTGTATGGGTATTTTTTATTAGACATTTGAGCATTTTACTCGAAGAACTGGATTATGATCAGCAGATCAACTGATTGACAGTTGATAGTTACAGCCCTAATTCATATAATGTTGATATATCCATCTGCTGGTGGCAGCTGATTATTAGCCTGGTTTCAGACATAAATCTCTGCCCACATCTCAAATTTGCAGATCTTTCAGAGATTCCAAAAATAACCAGGTGAAAATAAAATGCAAATTCACTGTGATTATCAGGCTACCCGTACCTGATAATGGCAATGCAGTCCTTTCAAAACAGCACCATTGGACTGGAAATTACATGTTTCACACCACATTTTCACACATCAAAATCAACTGCAGAAGCTCAGTTGGAGAACAGATCGGTTTAGTACAGTTAAATTTTTAAATAGCGACAGGCTTTACAACACACCACAACAACATCATTTTGCTGTTGTTCCAGTGTCAACTCTGTGTTAAAAGGTAGATATGTATTACAGTTTAAATGACTTAATCATCCACAGTGCGGTTTAGATTCTGAGAGGTTTTATTATCATGCATCAGTTTTTAATCCTTAAAATAAATGACGATGTTTTTCAGGGACTGGGTTGTCTAATGAATCAAATCAGCACAATTATCCTACATTATGAGTTAAAGAGATTATCTTTGGTGTCAGAATAATTACCCCAAATTCAAAGAGGATGTCTTGTTAACAATACAACAGCCAGTGCTTCCGTCTCAACAATGAGAGGTCTACATTTGGCTGCTTATAGTCATATTTTTAATTTATTCTTCTGTGTGTTTCTGAAGAAGTGGCACACAGGATGATCCAGTCCTCACTGATCATGACCTGTCCTCCTCTACACACTTGCATATCACACCCATACACAGCATTCAAATGAGCATGCACTTCATACATAAACTTCAGCCTGCAGCTTCAATGGTTCCTATGGTAACGGCTTCGCAGTATGTTTGTTAGTGCTGGGGAGAATGTCTCGCAACATTAAAGATACATGTAAAGCCTCTTCTACATTGTTACTGATATGCTGACAAGTAGTCCTGAGGGGCTTAAGTGTATGAATGAATACATAGAATGAAGGTAACAAATTCCATGCTTTGCCCTTCTCTCTTCATTTAAATCTAAGTAAGAGAGACGAGCAGAGGGACGGACGCCTGTCAGTCCTCGCAGACATCTTTTTATCCAGGCGTTGCCATGCTCTTATGCTCAGGGCAATATGTGGAGAGACTCTTTAATCTGCTGTGGTAGGGAGACATCACAGCCATCCAGAGTGATAGACAGTCTACCTCTGGCAGTGGGCTGGTTCGCAGGGCTCAGCTGTGGAGGGTTATTTTTTCCATTGTTTCTCTGAGGGGATAGAGGGAGGACTGGAGCCTTTCTATTGAGGGATGGTCCATTCGAACTCTGACATGGGCTGGAATGGACTGTGTCCTTTCCGGGCGCAATAACATTTTATGGACTGATGTGATGTGCAAGTGTATCTGATCTGCAAGATGTGAGCAACAAGCTGCAAGATGTTTGAAATGAGTCTTTGGCTTTCTTGTTTGGTCCTCAGTGATTGTTGCTATGAGCGACTGTCTGTGTTTTGCTGTGTTTTTGCATTAAATCAGTAAACATCAGTAAATGCCCACAGCTGTAAAATTTTTAAGGCATATCCTCAATCCTTGCTCATCTGTGAAATTTGTTAGCTATTATGTTTTAGCGTTCTTTTGTCCAATTGTGCTTTTCATTGCATACTTAATTGCAAATGATTGGCATTGTTCTTTACATAAGTGCTAATTGTCACTAGCTTTCAGCGCACTGTGTGTGTTTTCTCTCTCCTAATGCGCCTCCTGCAGTGGCTCTAATGAGCAGCCTCCATCAAAGGCTGTGAAAAGGGCAGCTCTTACCCAACCCTTGATAGCCTCTGTCTGGGGAGGGAAGAGGGAAGTTTGCCTGCATGATTGTCTCGACCTGAATGGAAACATTCACACGTCCAGTCCTGCTGCTGTGGATTCTTGGGAAGCAACCGAGGCCCAATCCTGTCACAGAGAAAATGAGGCTACGCTCGAAGATTTTGAATTAAGAACGGAGGAGAGTCAACACTGTATCCATCAAGGTAGGAGATAGACTTTTTTTTTGTTTAGACAAAGATCGAAGCCATTTGAATTTGAGGTTATTTAAATGCTAATATTTAAGAACTAAAACTGAACCTTTAAAAACAGAAAACACAGTTTAACTGTGTAACTGCACTGCAGTGGTGGAGGTATTTTTAGATATTTCACTTAAGCAGAAGTAGCAGTTGTACAACATAAAAATACTCTCATTACAAGTCTTTCACTTAAAATTTAAGTAAAAAGTAAAGCTATGTCAGCATTATTAGTAAAATATACTTCAAGTAAAGATACTAAAAATGCAGAAAATGACCCCTGTTCTATTCTTTTATTTAATATTATTACTGATGCATTTATGTGTAAGTAGCATTTTACGTTGTAGCAGGTCAATATGGACTTTACTAATGTGCTGTTAGGTAGTTTAATCTATAACAGTGCAACATCTGTTTTGTATGTACAATCTGTCACAATCTGTAAGATAACTAGTAACTAAAACTGTCAGATAAATATACATAGTTAAGTAAAAAGTACAATATCTTCCTCTGAATTGTATTAGTATTTCCATTTCATGCTCCTTTATACTTCTGAGTAAAGTACAAGTACCTCAAATTTGTACTTAAATGTATTTAGTTACATAATACTACAATACTGTACTTACTGATTACTAATTATCTCCTCCTCAAACAAACTACCTCTAAGGTTTTTGGGGATTTGCATTTGATAGTAGATTCAACATTGCTTTCAGAAAACAAAAAAACCCCAAACCATGTGTGATGTTTTGATATATTTCACTTTATTTGGCTGCTGACTGAAGTCATGAGAGCTGTGACTGGCTGTTGGATGCTGTTCTTAAGATTGAAGCACATTCATAAGAGTCCAAGGCATGCTAGTAAACAAAAGATTTCCTCTGAAACCCTATTCCTGGCCAATGACATTCACAAGCACACACACACACACACACACACACACACACACACACACACACACACTCACACCCTTGCATCTGCGTTTGTTGTGCTGTTAAAATGTGCTCGACATGGGGTGGGGGTCTTTATTACAAACGGGCTCTTACAAGGTACTCGAGATAAAAAAGATAGATAAGAAGTTGAGCTTGAATTGCCTTTAGGCTCATCTGTTAAACAGTGGATGCATTGTGCAGCCATGACAGGGTTAGCAACAGATACCCCCAGCACCGCCCTCGGGTCTCTTAATGTGTTTTTATACCCAAATCCAGTTTGATTTTTTTTTTCACCCTCCATGTGATTCAGTCCCTCTCTCTTTCTCTTCCATTTCTCCTTTCTGTCTCCATTTCCCTGTTTACTGGTCTAGGTGTGAGCACGGACGGTTTGGACACTGGGGTCATGGAGGGAGGAGATCATTCAGCAGGGGGCAGCGATGAAAGCCCCTCTGAAGCTGAGTTTCTGTCTGGGAGAGAGGAGGGCCTGACGGGTTCCTGCTACGAGCAGATGAGCCCGGACTGCTCGGAGGACATGGAGGACAGTGATTCTCTGGCATCAGAGCGACTCCTCTCGCCTGGATTCAGAGCAGAGGGACGGGGCCTCAGCTTCAGCCCAGCCTGGGCCTTAGCCTTCTTTGGAGAGGATTGTTTTAGTCCAGAGGTGATCCAGTATGCAGTGAATCTGGGGCAGCACACAGGCTCACCGTGTCTGGATGTGAAAACACAGGTGGGTAAACCTGTAAAGCTTACTGCCTGTGAGTCATATTTGACCTTAACCCAAATGTGTTTGAACAAACAGCAGACTGCGTGAATCAGCTGATTTATTTATCACATTCTATTACACTAACACAACGTATGGGTGTTTTATGCAATGCATGTTGCAGTAGTAGGAGGGAGAGTAGTGTATAGCTGATATTCTGGATGCAGTAGTAAGAAAAGGTTTTCAGCACAACCGATACATTTCTACTGAAAAAATCTCTGAAATCATCAATCTCTGTTTCATTACTTTGTATATAGTTTGTTTATACACTGCAGATTGAAAATGTTATGCTTGGATTTTATTCAGTGGTTTCATTTCCATTCTTTGTGCATTTTATCCATGTATTATGTTATATCCAAGTGCGTATTGAATGCAGTCTCACTTCCTAGTTCCATTCAGCCCTTCACCTGCTTTGGTTTCGTGAATAAGTACAGGAATTATTTTTCAATTTGTTTTAGAGCGGGGCACGGTCAGGGTTTGGGGTAACTGGGACGAGAGCATGCGGGGGGGAATAATTGGCATAATATTCTCTTCTAACTGGATCTGAATATCAATGTGATGAACTTAGCCCTTGGCAGAGAAGGTTATTAAAATTTGTAAAAGAATATTAATGAATAGTCTTTGTGTTTGCGCACTTTGATGGCACCACTGTTTGTACAACAGCTATTAACACACCTTAAGAGCTGTGCTGCTGCGACTTCTCACTCATTTCACTTCAAAAGATCCGTTGCGCACTGTTGCCACGGTGAAGAGAGCAAAAAAAGGCAACAAAATGCTGCTCCGCACACAGAGTGGAAACACCCAAAGGCTTCTTTCAACGAAAGGCATGTGGTGTTATTTTAGGGCCTTTTGTCTGATTGTGTGTGATTCCCTTTGAACAGGAACTGCAGCAGCAGCTGATAATTGAAACAAGGAATCTGAAGAAAACGAGAAATTTCTACCAGAAGCTGATTCAACAAGAGCGAAAAAACAAAGGTTGGGTAGCCGTTTCATGACACTGCTAGTATACGCAAATGCCACGTGAAGCTTCCAGTATGATCTATAAAACAGTGTATGTGTCCAAAAGGTTCTGAGAGCAAACTGATGCTGTCCAAACTCAAGTCCCAGTTTGAAGAACTCAGGTCCAAAGTGGTCTTCTTGGATTGTGTGAAGAAATACCTTGAGGTACTGACAGAGCTCTACAATTCCCAACACTGCTATTTCTCATTCATTATCTAACAGCTTCCAACCTTTGATATGCTATCTTGTATTTCTGCAGATTCTAAGTGTGGACCAGTGGGGTTTGGAGGTTTCATTACTCCCTACTTTGGCTGTCTGTGGACCCGACTCTTTGGACCTCCAGTCCTCCGAGGACCCGTCTGTTCTGAGCTTTGGTACCAGCAAAGGGAAGAGCACTCTGCAAGCTGGATCTCCTCTGGGTTTCATGGCTTACCTCTACGCCAGGTATTATTGATGAGGCTTTAGATTAGAAATGTGCTAGCCAAAGCTTTTCTCTGGTCAAGTCATGAGGTTGTATGAACCCTGATAAAATCAGATCTCAAAGCGGTGTGAAGCTCATGTGATCCATTTCCCATGTTAGATTATTTATCCTCCCTGCTGCTTTTGATCTGGCCAACAAGGAGATTTCACAAGGACTTTTTACCAAATTACAGCAAGAAACTGAAGAACATCCTTGGTGGTATTATTTATACTACAGACATGTTTTTCTTAAAATAAGGACTTTCATTACAGCTCGTTTCCCAGCAATGTACTGCTGGTATCTGGGATGTTTTTAGAAATGCTAGCAGCAACTGAAACATCTTAAAAACTATTTGATAAACTGCAATGAAATTTTGTGCAGACATTCATTCCTCAGCTGTTGAATCTACTTTTCATTTACCACCACCAGCAGGTCAACAATTTACTTCATTTAATATTTGTTTATAACCAAATACCTTCAAAATGAATGACACTCCCATCAATCTCAGCTGTACTTGGTGTTCATTGCTATGTGTTGATAACACGCTAAACTAAGATGGTAATCATGGTTGGTAGCATTGCCAACAGAGCTGCTTACCTGGCTGTTGACTCTTAATCTGGTTCATAAACTGTACTATATATAGTACTATTTATATATATATATATATATATATATATATATATATATATATATATATATATACTTTTAATTTTCAAAAAGGCTCAATTTCCTAAAACCCAGTGCAACTCTATGGCTCAGAGGAATATGATATATCAGGCTTTTTGTTTCTTTTAATGATAATACGAAAAATATAGAATAATCGTATGCACATTTTCTGTGGTCTGAGACACTCTCCGTACTATTACTATTAGGCTCAGCAATACATGTACAATAAATGCATTGTCTTTCAGTAAACCTTATTCCTCACAATACAGTACCAAATACATTTCAGATGTAATTCCTCTCCCCAGCTCTCTTGCTCTCCCACTCTCGTCACACTCTCTCTGTTGACACTAGTCGTGCCATTGGTTATATAGATATTCATCTATCATCCCTAATTTTAATGTGATCTGTAAACAATGACACAATCACTGCTACTCTTAAGTCTGACATTTCAGCGTCTGGTTTGTTATCTGTTGCCATGGGAAACAGCATCAACAATTGGAAATAAAAGGACACAGTCCATGAATGTTTTAGCTCCTGCTTCCAGCTGAATCTGTTTTATTACTTCTAAAGGCATTTATGAGGTTTTTTTTCAGTTTATGTCTCCAAAAGGTGGCTTATTTAACAGCTTAGTCAATGTATTAGCATTATTACAGAAAGCCTTTGTGTATATACTTGTTTTGTTTTTAGTGAAGAATCTCTGATTTTGTTGTGTTTGGTTCTGAAACCAAACCAAACCTACGCCCCTGAACAGAGGGGATCTTCACGAATTCCCATTTGTCTGGCAGCTCATGAGACCCAGTGACAATGTTGTGATTTTGGAGAACTTCAGTATGACGCGACTGCTCCCAGAAGGCACCATTAATGCATGGATGCTTATCTCCTTCATTGTCTTTCCCACATGGTGAGAGTGCTTGAAAGGTCCACCAGGAGACGGTTAAGGAATGACCACGATAAGAAACTAAAAAGAAAAGATGATTCTCTGTTAATCATGTGTTTATTTCTTGAAGCTGCAGTAGGTAATGTTTATAAAAATAACTTTAATCACATTTGCTGAAACTTTCACTTTATCCTGACAGTAGCACACGAGACAGATAATCTTTAAAAAGATTGCAAGAATCCACCGCATCTCAGAAGCAAGAAAGATAGTTGATTGTTATTTCATTTCCCAGGTCGTCAAATAACAACGCTTCGGGTCAAGCGTCAGTATCCAGGAATGAGACTCAACCGTCAACTATCTTTCTCGGTTCTGATGTGTTGATTTCATTCAAGCACGGTGGATTCTTTTCATTAGGAACATGAGGAGAAGCCAGAGGAGCCTGGTTTTTTTCCACAGATTATGTTTCATGTACTACTGTCTGCATATAGCAAAACCTTGATAATATGACATATATTTATATGTTTTAAAGTTACCTACTGCGCCTTTAATTTGTAGTGGAATGTATAATAAAACATTTCACTAAATGGTGTTGAACTGTGTTGTTTTTTGAACTGTTCAGTGGCACTACAGTATGTTCCTTTTCATCACAGAAATGCTGCTTTGGAGGGCTTCATCCAGCAGTTCCTGTATACCTACCGTTTCTTCTGCACTCCTGAGCAGTTACTGCACTTCTTAATGGATAGATTCATCAGTGCTGCAAGGTACTGTATATCTAGTAGCTGATGTTTACATAGAGAAACAGCTAGAATACAGAACAGTATGCCAAAAGAAACCCATGGGATTCTCCTGTCCAGCCTCTCCTGTAAACTTGCACTAATTGTGTGACGATTTATGTTTGTTCCACACCAGACAAGGGCCAGACATGTCAGGAGACAGCGAAAAGATCTTCCATCGCAGTTTGGACGTGCTCCAGTTCTGGATAACAGACTGTAGACAGGTGGACTTCACACCTAAGTCCAGCCTCGTGGATACAGTAGAAAACTTCCTTAATACTGAGGTAAGCACAAAAGCGTACATATTGCTCAGCACTTTACAGAGATGACCTGTCAGTCAAATGGCTCCACTTTGACAAACTGTGTTTTACCCTGGTATTTTGAGCTCCTGAAGGTGGCAGTTTCTTCTCATGCCACCTACACACTTCATCTGTTAATTATAATCCATGTTTGTGCAGTTGTAAGCACCGAATTTACTGTGTGTCAACATAGTTCATGGGTGAGAAAGTCCACTGGACACTGGCATTTAGAACCGCAAAAGTCAAAGATTTCATGAAGTTTACAATTCAAATTAACAGTGCAGAATCTTCTATACGAGAGCCTAGCATAATGTATCAATTAAAACATACTTTTGGTTTAAGATGAACTCTTCGTGAAATGCACAGTGTCTACTTTCGGTAGTTCTGCGTTTTGTTTTTGCACAGGTGATTCCTGTGGACAGCCGAGGGGAAGCCCTTCTTTCTGCTCTCCACAGCCCCCCATGTACGAGTTGGAGCCAAGGAAGATGGAGCCTGATCAGCTTTGAGGAAGAAGATGATTCTTCGTGTGTGCATTCATCTACTGAGGATCTTGGGAGAAAGGTCAGTATAAAATGGTGACAAGTTATGCTATGCTTTGTTTTTGTAAATGCTCTCATCTATCCTTTGGCTCTATCATCAAAAATAAAACTAAAGTGATCTTTTAAAAAAATAAATCACAATGTATCACCTTGCTTACAGATTATTTCCAATACACAGCCCTAAATACGATACAATAGAAAAACTATTAATCTTGCAGTTTGATGCTATGTATTAACAGCAGGTTCAGTCCTTGTTGATTAATCCAAGATTTTCTGGACTGAGCTTTTACTTCTGCAGGGGCAACAAACATCCTGCCAAAATCCATACCCTAAATTTAATTTGGGCACATATGCTGAATCTATTAGGTCTTTATGTAGAGAAGATTTATTGCAGCAGAACTTTCTGGTGATGAGTGAACTGTATTTTAAATACAAAATCTCATTTATTGATTCTACTGTCTCGCTGCTATTCACTGAACCCTGCATGACATACAAAACAGCCTCCCTTCCTCTATTACTGTATTGTCGGTGTGTTTACATAATTCAGAGCACGTATCCTGTCTTGTCACATCTCTCTTTCTCGACTCTTCAGTGGAGATTCTCAAGAGTAGTGGAGCCTTCTGCATCCCTGCCTAAAGAGAAGGCCTTCTCCATTGCTGCGGCCCTGCCTGTGCCTTGCTACGGCTCCATGGTGGATGACCTCTCCAACGTCTGCCTGCACAGTGAAGAGCGACTCCCTTTCAGCCAGAATGAATACAGCGCACAGCACATAGCCCAGCAGCTCACCCTCCTGCAGCAGGTACGCACACATACTGCACAGTGCACCCCGCCACCTTGCACTCAAGTTGTTGTTGTCTCTTTTCACCACTAGAGGGAGATATTCCCCTATGAATGCATAGTAGTATTATCAATATGTCAAGTCCTGATCTAATATTGAAGTTGTACCTTTTGTGACACAGGAAATGTTTCAAGGATGTCATCCAGTTCATTTCCTTAAATCCAGAATACAAGCAGTCAGGGACAAAGTCTTGACCCCAAACAAGTGAGTATAATGTCACCAGCTTTACTTATGTCACATATAAATCGGTGACAAATCAAAAGAAAAAAAAACATCAGAAACTTTATTTGTAACGTGCTGTTTCACCACAAGCCTCTAGAACAGCTTCGGTTCTCCTTAGAATAAATTCTCCAAGTCTCTACTGGCCAAACAATATGCCCTCATTTGGTATTTTGATAAAACAAAATTTCCCATAGTTTCCCTTGGGTTAAAAGCCAGTGACTCTGAAGGCCATAACATTTGATTCACATCCTTTCCATTCAGTGAGACTGTATGTCCTCTATGTTAGCATCCACATTTTGTATGTATAAAGCACAGTATGCAGGGTTCGGCTGACTTAGTAGCGTGTGCATCATGTGTACAGTGAAAGGAACAGTGAACTGTCATTATGTAGCTGCAGCTGCATCTGCCAGACAGATAGACTATAATGTATAGTGGTCCAGATGTTCCAAAAGACAAAAGTAAGAAAATCTATAGATAACAATCTCATGAAGAGAGATGCATGAGACTACTGTGCCTCGTTCTACACCAGCCAACAGTGCCAGGTGCTGAAATGAAGTATAATGAACTACTAAATAACTAATTTAATTTAAAAAATAGCATAATCCACAAGTCCCCCTTGCATTCAAACTGTTTTAATTCAATAGCTTTAGCCTGTTTGAAAGTAACAGATTTGTGTGTCTCACAAACAGAATGTCAATTTATTGGTGGCATCAACAGAAATATCATGCTGATGCCATTTTTCCCTAAGGCACCTTCTTACTTTAGTTTACTTAATTGCACCACTCAGTATCAATACGACAATAACAACAACAGCATTTTAATTCATCCATAAATGATGCAGGCCACTAGGCTGTTGACAACCTTTTAATTACATCGCTAGTCTCAAGTGCAACACAGAACACACATTTTGTGTGAGTCGTAGAGCAATCATAAGCTGCTGTTCTCTTTTAGTCCTTGCTTAATAATAGGGTGAAATTACCTCGAATACAATCTTTAAAAAGGCAGTTAAATCAGTTGTATTCTTCAATGAATCCGTGCCTGTAAAATTAATAATGCTGTGGCCAATGGTTGAAGGTGATTTCTGAGCCCTGATTTATGCTGTATATCTTTGGTAAAATGGGGTGAAATCTATTGTATTCTATTAGTATCATACTGTATATAGATAGAATATGTGAAAAATACCTATTCAAGTTTTTTTTCCAACCAACAGTTGAAAACCTGAATACATAAAAAAGAAAAAAGAAGCATACTTCACATTTGAGAATCTCCAACCAGCAGATGTTTGCCATTCTTGCTAGATAAATGACTAAAACAATTAATCAGTTATCAAAGTTTCTGGCACTTAGTTTTCTGATAATAAACTAATCAATTTATTATGTCTTCAGTAATAACTTCCTGTATTGATTTATTTATTTTTTCCCCATCAGGAATGTGTCTCAGCACACCCCGCCAGCAGAGGGCAGCAGCCTGCTTGTTTGTGACGGGACGCAGTCAGACAGCTACCTCCAGCAGCTGCTCATGTATGCTGACAGTGTCACTAACTGGATCTCTGCTGAAATAGTCATCTGTGACTCCGTCAAGGTGAGAAGAGACATAACTCATGAAAGTAACAGGGTCAGCTGGGAAAAAAGGCAGCCATTACTGTCACAGCTTGGGCTTTGATTTCTCATTGGACACAGACTCTCATGTCAGTCACAGAATTTCCCCCTGTGTGCTTTCTGTTGATTCCCTAGTCTCATGGTTGAATGGTTTATAGACAGTTAGAGAACAAGAACATATGGGTCTGAAATCTGAAACAGTTCTTTATTTAATTATTTATTGTTTTAAATATATTTTTGGGGCATTTTTTATTGCCTTTAATTAATAGAGCTAGCTGTAGAGCAACAAGAAACGGGGGAGAGCGAGAGAGGGGACGACATGCAGCAAACAGCCACAGGCTAGACTCAAACCCATGGCCCATAAGCTGTCATTTGTGTCTTACAAAACGTTGAGAAATTCATGAAAAATAGATTAAATAATAGATAAATAAAATAAATGTCATACTTCCTCATGCTTTCACACACCATTCAAACTTTGAAATGTTGAGCTCATTTACAACATCTGTGCATCCATTCATACTGACACGACAGCTCGAATACTCCAACTGACACTTCGTACTCAAACTAATGGCAATTTAACTGCTGTCACCTCTTTAAATGATGATGTTCAACTGCTTTCAGTGCTTACAGACAACATTTCAATTACAAAGTCTCAGCTGTCACACTTCAGCTGATTTCACCTGCTTTTGGGTCCTCACTTGTAAAGACTAGGGATGGTAACATTTAATGATTTGCATCGATACACCCACATAAAAACTGATAATGCTTGACTAAAACTTGATTAAGAAAGTGTGCACTGGATACAATTTGGGATGATCTCAGAATTCATCGTTTCTCCGATTTATTTATATTTAAGGCCCTATGCCTTTATTATTTAAAAATTGTGACCAATGATTTTAAGTTTAGATTGAGTCTTCCTCTCTAAACCATTTCTAAAGCTGCTTAAGAGCAACCAAAGAAATAAAAAATAAAATAAAATCGCATTGTGTTGAATCCAATAATGCTATATTGCACTCATAGTTGCTTCATATGTATCTTTAATGTATCAGTGCTCCAACCTAAACTATAGCTCACAATTAGCACCTCAGATGCATTTTAACATTTCCAGTGTTTGCACCTGCATTTTTCAGCATAACCGAGCACACCTGCATTAACCAGTGCGCAATGCATCCATAACCTTGACAACATATAGTATTTTTCTTGTTTCCAAAGGACATGCTTCATTATGCAGCCTCCTCTAGAAAAGCAGACCACTGTAGCATTTGCATTTCGCCTTGTTTAGCAGTTTTTCATTGCAAGCTCTACTCTGTTGCAGACACAAGTTGCTTTGCTGACCAAGTATCTGTGGATAGGGAAACACTGCTACGAATCGAGGAACTTTGCCACAGCCATGCAGGTCCTTGGAGGTCTGGAGAATGTGATTGTCAGGCAATTACCGGTAAGGCTGCATATCATAAATTCCTCCTCACACAAGTGGTGAGTTTCTGTATTAAGTCAGATGCCCTCGAGCTAAATGTTTTCTTCAGCTGTGATAGAACGGGTTGGTGTTTAATTAGTTTCACAAATGAGAAATTAGCATTAATGCATTCAAATAAGATGTAGATAGTGTGAGTGCAGTGAGGAAGAATGTAGGCCGTGAATAGGAGTAATTGAAAAAGCTCACAATTAAAAGACAATAGTGTTGAGAAAATGAAAGAACTTTTCATATTTCCATCTGGAAGCGGGTTATATTCTTTGACTCGTGTTGCATTGCAATCTCTCTTTCAGAGCTACTAAATAAAACTTCCTCCTCTGTTGCCAACAGGCTTGGAAACATCTGTCTTCCAAGGTGTGTGAAATCCTGGAGGAGCTACGAGCCGTGCAGGTGTGTGTGGGTGTGTTTGAGCAAGCACACACGTATGTTGTTTGTAACTGAAGGCTAGGCTGGTCACATATTGTGAAACTGGGCTGCAGGGCAAACAAATCAATAGAAAAACAGCTTCAAGCAACTCTGCTGTATGCTGAGGGCTTACACCTGGCTCTGCTTCTGAAAGTTACCCTCAAAAGAACCTGATGCATCAAACATTATGCACCACTCTCTTAGCAACTTTCCTATTTAACTGTAATTAAGAGAAACGAGCGTACGCTCTCTTGGTTTTGAAATGTAAAGAGGTTAAATTTGTTGAAAAAAATCCTCTAAGAGTCTTTCAATCATATTACACCGCTACATTGGACACGCTTATTACTGCGTCAAGCACCTGAGACTTTGGCTTAATTGGAATTTTTCTAAATGTTCTATTCCAGTAAGAACTCATTTATTTACTGTGCGGAGAAATTGCTCTCTCCTCAGGTGTTTCTGAAGAGTGACGACCTGTGTCTGATGGGGGGAGAACACACGAGGAGGAGGCCCACCCTGCCCTCAGTGCACATCCTGGCCATGCACGTCCAGCAGCTGGAGATCGGAGCCTTCACACTCACTACTGGAGCTTACAAGTGGCCCAAGCTCAGGTGAGGGGAAGTCTGCATCATTTCTGGGTCGGTAGGAATCGGCCATTGTTTTGTCCGTTCCATTTCCGCTTTTATCTCTTAGCTTCCAGTCTCTGTTACCAGCTACAGTTAAGAGGATTCTTCACTCCTGATCAGTTCGCCGACTATATATTCCTCAACGTTGGGAACACACGTTGACTGTTTTGTTGTTCCTACGAGCTGACACCACCACATCTACCGCAGATATCGAATAACAAGACTATCTTTAGTGGTGTCATCTTCAACTGGCTTACTTTGTTTCTTGACTTGACAGCTCAACGTGAAAAATATAATTAGCAGTGCAATGAACATTTGCATTCTTACTGTCCCTCTGATCTGACTGCTTGCAAGACAAGTGGTTACAGGATACGACTTTTATAAAACAAAGGGAAGAAAAATGTGTTACCTCCAAACGCCCTATGGAATTTCAATCTATGAATTATTAACAGTATTGATTAAATTTGATAGTAATTAATTAATTATTGGAATAATAAGTCTATGTCATGGAAAGCTGGACTGATTTGTTGAACCTCAAACAGGTATTTGATGTTATGGAAAATCCTGTGTAGTGTAATAGTGTACACAAAAACATCAAAAACCAAATGAGTCTCCACTCACTGTGCAATCTGTGCTTTGGAAGAAGAAATGTGTTGGCGCACGTTTTTATTGCCACACTCAGACATTTTCTGTCACGATGTCCTATTTTTATGTATACATATTAGAAAAACACAAATACCAATGCATCCTGACTAATCACTGCGGCTTTTAACTAATCACATGATCCATGCATTATGTTTGAAAACTGGTCCAATCCTTGTCAAAATGTAGATAAAAAGTGATCATAAGCATCATTCCCATTTCTGGTGTAGACAGGAAGTTAAAAGACAAAACATCTCTGTGGAGCACTTCCTGAGCTGAGAAACAAGTGGACCGACGCCCTGGCTGCTCAGTCCCCTCCCTTCCTCTACCATTACAACCATGATTTTACCGCATGCTGGAATTTGCACCCATTTTATTTCGTTAGAGGTGTGATATTGATGAAACGTGCTTACAGCCAGTGAAATTAGCCTCATGTCTATCCTTGCAGTGACACAATATATTAACAGTGTCATTAACTCATAATTAGCTCTCTCCCCATATCCCAAGTATCCATCTATGACAAAGTCGGCCAACTCGCTATGAGGACGCTTTTTCCCCGTGTCCTTCTCCTTCACTCCAATATGGCTGACCAGATGCTGAGGTCACAGCGAGTGGCGGTTGGATGGTAATGGCACAGCTGTTGAATTTGGGTTGTTGGTAGAGGTGCCAGTGTTGCACCAGATGGCGCCGTGGGATGGGGTTTGATTGGAAAAGGGGTTTCGGGCCAGATGCTGAGAGGCAACTGGCTGTATCCAGATGCTGAGGTCAGGAGATCTAGCAGGGAAAGGCAGAGACACAGCTGGTTACTGTGGACCCAGGGTTACCCCCGCTCTCTCCAAATCAGGTCACAGGCAGAGCTTATGATGCTGCTAAGAAGAACCCGCGGTATAATATGCACCTAGTTATGAATTATTTTCATGTTTACACTTTTGCTTTTTTCTATATTCCCATTTCATGTTGCTCCATCCTTTCATCCACCCATCTGTGACTCTAGGAGCATAGCAAAGGTTGTGAGTCAGATCCACGCCTTCCAGGAGGCTGTGTACCCCCACAGCCCGGACCGGGAGCTGCAGGCCTACCTTCGGCGCCGTATCGCCCGGCTCGCCACCTCTGACATCCACCTCTTGGCCGCCGACAACGATGCCAACTTCCAGCAGTCCAGCGAGCGACAAACACGGAGGATCCAAGACACGCTGAGGAGGGTTAAAGCCACTTTCCAGTGAGCCCTGACCCAGTCACATCTCACAACCCAGAGCGAGACGACACAACCAGGTCAACACCCCATGTCCAAGCCCAGACTGAGAGTCCATGCTTAAGCCACAACCCACAGATGCCTGTGCTGTCCTGGCAACAGAGAAGTGTAGACTGGGAAACGTTTTGTGCTGTTATATGTTCACTATTTGTCAAAGGCCCCTTACATTAAGTCAATAATATCAGTTTAGACTCCCGGACAAACTTTATTTGTAACTCACGCCTTTAATATTACACAGGTTCTGCTGTCGAGCACATGTAGTTTCTGTTTGATTTTGATAATAGCATTTTTCTTCCACACAGAGAAGTATGTTTGTAATTTGCAATGATTCTTCCTGCGCTCATATGCTGACATGTCTTTAATCATCATTTGTGAATTTACCCTGTAATTTAGCTGTTAAGGCCTCTATATAATCATACATGGACTGAAGGCTGGATTACCAACATAGCAAAGTGGGAAACTGTGCGTGATAATATGATCAATTGTAACTTTTTGGGGGAATATGCACCACTAAAGCACGATAGCGACTAACGTGCTGAGGGCCTTTAGGTGGAATGCTACTTTTTTAGCCATGCTGCATGGCTGTTGAAGTGTCGGTCGACATCGATATTTTGTTCAAATATTCATGGTCAGCAGAAGACCTATTGACTTTGATGACCTCTTGACTTCCCCTTTATGTTTCTCACATTCATGGTTTTGTGGTTTTGGATGGATTGCCATGAAATGTGATATTTAGGTTATCACGTTCCACACAGGATAAATTTGAACAACTCTGTTACTTTGGTTTCTGACCAAATATCTGCACAACGAATAATGTGTTTACTGCTAATTCACAAATGTTAGTATGCTAACATGTAGGGATGTAACAATACACTCAACTTCGATAGAATTCACAATACTGGTTTCACGATGTGACTTTCTCAGAATTTTTTTTAACAAAATGAGATTGAATAAAAATTCTGACTGAAAAAGATTCCTTTATTTCTCAGACAAAAACCTGCTTAATATATTTTCTTTATCAAATTATAGAATCCTTTCTTGTGTTTGTGAGGTAGGGTAGAAACTGTGCAAAACAATTTCCTTTGTTAAAAGTGAAACTGATGTTTTTGCGCCTTGATACAGCTACTGACAAGAGTGCCGCAGGACTTCAAACAAGCAAACTCAAAATTAGATAGTGAAAGCGAGGACACATTTGGTCCATGAACTCTGCCTGGATGGTGCCTGATCCACTGATATTTTAAGCTGACTCTGGAGTTCTCTTTGGATTCTGTTTCAACTTCTTCACCGCAGGTCACTGCATGCATTATTGTTGTTTTTTCAGCATGCCCTGTGGCCCCCACTGCCACAGTGCATTCAAAATGAATGTGAGGAGGAATGTTTTTGCTGCAGCGCCTGATTTGGTCTAAATCTGCCTTTTTAATATATCCTCACAGAGCCGTTAGTGTGGTTGGAGTCTCTTAGAGCCGGTAATGCTAGAAAAAGAATCCCTATGATGTGTGTGAGTGCCTTGTTACATAATCTTGAGGCCCTGTCTTGAAGAATGGTCTTGGGTCAAGATCTACTTTAGACCTTCATTATTTCAGCTGATACTGTGCTTATAAGGTGCATATCCCTAGATTAGATTCAATTCAATCATATCACCACACAGCAAACCTGGGGACATGTTTCATTCCAGCACAGAAACTGCAGAGAAAAGGGATGGAATGGGGGGTAAATTGGGGCCTAGCAGGTTAATCCAGCCATGTCAAACATTTAGATAACATCTATTTGAGGTTGCTGAATCGTGTTGGACTTGTAGGAAACAAGATAACTGTTTATTGATCATATATTTTGCTTAATCTACAACACGTAGTCTCTATTTGTTTCACCAAATGAGATTCATATGACTAGATTGATAAATTAATATCTAATATTAATGCAATTTAAACAGCACAATGTGAAATAATTGCATTTATTCTCAATAGTGTGTCGTGAAGGCCGAAAGCTAGACAAGCTTACTGTCATGACAATACCTTGCCATTACACAGAAAATGATAGAACATAATGAGATGTCAGTGTGCAAAATGTTATTTGAGGAATGATGTTTAGTCAGTGTCTATTTTTCTATTGTGCTGCCCGCTCTCTCTCTTCTATGGGATTCGGCCGTGAAACACACCGTGGAGATGGAATGTGACGTGCTCCGAAGATTCGCTTAATTTAGCCAAATAAATGAGATTTTATAAGCCCCGTCTTGCCAAAGTGTATTATTGTCAGACAATACCCGTGGTAGACTGGCTGTATGGCAGGTTACAGCCCTGTTACATCTGTCAGCAGATATGGAATGTGGTGGGAGGAGCTGAAGCTGCTCTTTCTCTCCTATGGGGATTTAAAGTGTATGGTAATGACTTCATCAGTGAAATTAGTGTGCTTTCTGGCATTTCCTCTTAATTATCACTGGAGGATTTGCTGTGTTGTAATGGCTGCATCATATTTGAAGTCAGTAGGCCTATACAAAACCTGACTACAAGGGCTGTTGGCTTTATTTCCTCTGTGTTTGGGGCCTCACAGACTCAACATCTATATGTAAAAACAATCATTATAAAAATGCATTTGTCTTTCCTTTTGAAAGAACCCTTTGTCTCAAACTGTGCTTGCACATTTGATGAAAGGGACTCAATGTGGAAACAAGCATAAAGCATTGTTATTACATCAACTCACAACATATTTCATGTTTTGTATTCTGTATGGACTATGCATGAACAAATATATATTCATTCTGTTGTAGTATCCAGCCACAGTCTGCAGTCATTTACAGACAGAAATGTACAGTATGTTGTCATACATAGTAATATTGCATAGAATATTTTTGGGGTCAATAGACCTGTTTTGAACAAACTATTATAAAGCTTCAATAACATAAAACAAAATATATTTATTTGTGATTTGGAAGGAGCAGTGCTGCCCAACTGTCAGCTCTAATCACAGTTTTACAGCAGATGAAAATCCATTAATTTACAGCCGGAGTCTCTGAGACCCCAAATCCCAAAAATAAGAAATGCTTCATTTTCAGTGGCTGACTTCTGAAACATGTCATTAATTCAAAATCATATTTGTAAGCCATTCTCAGAAAATTAGAAAAAGTAATTAAATATCAAAGTGATAAAGCAATGAGCTGTTAAAGAGGGCTCTGGGAAGTGGTGAAATCTAACTGTTTCATTTCATGCTGCTTTATACTTCTGTTTAACTGCATTTAAGTGGGAAATATTACTATTTTTGCTGCACTACATTTATCTGACAGCTACGGGTACTTTGCAGACAAGACCTGTAATCATGTAATTAGCTCTATCCAACAACAAGTACATCAATTACTGTACCTTGCACCACTTTAGCCTTATACATTAAAGTGCTTCCTACAGGTTTATGCATTGGTATTTATAACCCAATAATAAAATAATACATTGGGATGGGGGCCATTCTTTTGCAAAATGAGTAATTTTGATACATAAAGTAGGTCTACATTATGTCAGTAACACATACTTACATACATACATACATACATACATGCATACATACATACCTATAAATGCAGGACTTTCACTTATAGTTGACTATTTTTCCAGTGAGGTTTTGATACTTCTACTTAAGTTAAGGACTGTCTTCCTATACCACTGACCTGGGGTCTCCAGGAGAGTGAATATAGTTCATGAATAACCTGAAGAGACTCATTTAAAAACACCAGGAACTCCAAAATGTGTTGATTTTATTTGCTATGTGAGTTATAAATAATACAGAACTGTTATGTCACTTCCAAACAGCACACAGAAATACTACCTATTGGATGCTTTATCCAGGCTCTAGTAAAAATTAGAATACAGTCACTTCTTGTAGCTTTTCCTCTGGGACAGACGGAACCCATGCAGGCAGAGCTGAGGAAATAGGCGCAGTGTGGCGGCGACGTCCCGGGCGCTTTTTATTGTTATCTAACGGGATCAGGGCGCATCTTCAAAGCCTCACAGATAAAGAGCCCCAAAAGACTGAAGGGACTCCTGCCTCCACTGCGACAGATCACCGATAAAAGAGACAACCAGGCCCAGCCTCTTATCTGCTTTGTCATATAACTAAACGATCAGTTTAGTGGCATTGTCCCTGAGCTGCTGCCTGCAGAGAGCTCTCTGAAGGAGGGCCGCGGATCCCACAGGTTGGCCGCTGGCTGGTGGAAAGACGTCCATTGGTTTATTAGCCAGCTAATAAACATGGTGTGATACTGACAGTCATCATGTTACAGTTTACACATGTGAAGAGTCAAAGTGCATGCTCCTTATTTTACTTTGGATAATCCCACTGAGTTAATATCGATCATATTTGGTTACTGATCTGATCTGTGTAATATGGGCAGCCTTTGGTGTGCGATGCAGTCAATTTAAGGATTACCTGATCTTTCTATGGGCTTGTTTGCGTTCACAGGGCTTTCCCAGCTTCCTCGCAGCTTGTTTTAGCATATTTACATGTGAACGGGCCGACAATCAGCCGTAATTGTGTTGCTACTGTAATACCTTTGATCTGTAATGTTTGAAGCGCTTGTGCCAAACGCTGGCGCCAGCACTCACCAGGGTATCAGGACATGTCAACACCAAGCCGCTGAGGTTTACTTGTGTTTCCCCTATTGAGTTTTCACTAGTGAAATCAGTGGGGGTTTTGTGGTGCAGAAACAGAACAATTTCCATGCTTTAAATCATTCATTTTTGACCATTTTACCACTTAGATGCCTGTTATAGACCTGTTGTTGGTGCCTCCATCATGACAGAGAGATAAATAAACCTGGAGTTCAATATTCTGAACCATGCTTGCAGCAGCCAAATGACAAATCTATGATGAGCAACTCCCCCTGTATTGTCCTTTATAGATCAATCCCATGTGCTTTCATAGTGACTTTTATTAGATCACTGTTATTAGGACGTGATTAGCACTGACATTTGGACCCAATAATGTCATAATACCCAGCCTCCATCATTTACTGTAAAAGCAACACCACAATATCAAAAGACTTCATTACAAGTACAAGTACTGCTTTCCAAATTTGAGTTAAGAAAAAGTCCTGGCAATATAAGGTACTTTAGCCCATGGCATTGTTATAATATTGTTGGATAATTATTACCAATGCATTCATTTGTAAGCAGTACTTTAATGTTATAGTTGGTGAAAGTGAAGCAAGTTATAACTGATTTATATACGTTTGAGTTTAATCAATAACAAAGCACTATATCTCGTAAACTGATCGTGATTTGTGTGTAACATCTTAATCTGAGAAGTATTTATTATAGGTGTGAAATAAATAGAGTGGACTGCATTGTTAGCTCCTGAAATGTAATAAAGTAGAATTATGATATTGATAAGAATGGAAATCCTCAAGTAAAGCCCCCAATCAGATATCTTCAGGCCACTGATTTGATAAATAAACCCTCCGTGATCCCTGTGCTTTTAGTTGTATTGGATAACTGACACTGACATTCAGAGAGACAGGGTCATGAAGGAATACAGTTTTATTTTAAATGAGAACCTTTACTGAACCAGGCTTAATAAGACATTTTAAAACCTTTCCCCTGGTACTACTGTATGCAGCAGCAACATGAAAGTCTCCACCTCTGCAGGAGATACAGCTGTTTCTGCAGGGCCCCCAGTTTCAGTCGGGGCGGACAAATGTATGAGCTCAGGAGGGTTCTCACAGACTCGGCGGCGCCAGGTCTTCACACACTCACAGGATATGTAAAGACTTCAATAACGAGCCATTAACCCCTAATCATCGGGATCGATCAGGCGTTAACAAGGGCCTCTACATATGCAAATCGCTGCAAGGGCCGGGGCCCTATAAAAGCCGACCCTGGACAGAGGCCGCAGTCACGCACTCCCTCTGACATTAGCTGGATTTACAGGTCACTACACTGCGAACATGGTGAAATACTTTTCTGTGGACTGGCTGGCCCAGAGCCATCACAACACCGCCCAGACTGAGGACCACGGAGCTGGCACGGATAGCGCGCCGACCTGCAGACCACATATTCCCTGCATGGTGCCGCCGCGCCCTCCGACCTTTGGCAAGAGTTATCTTCAGCCAAAACCCAAAGCATCAAAGCCCGTTGAACACATGGAGAGCAGCGGGCATCAGGACACCAGCCTGTGCTCACCTCTGCATCCAACCAGCTGCGCCTCACCAAGTAAGTAGTCTAAAACTCCCAACTTCAAACCAGTAATGTCAGCACTGATGCACAAGCACTGTTTGTAACCGAGTTTTCCTTTCTTCAGTTTCAGAAATGAGCGGCTATTCCTCCGGGTACGAGAGCGAGGCGGCTTCCTCCGAGTGTCTCTCTGTGGACGAGGGGAGCGAGACCGAGAAAGACGGACCCCAGCGCCGCGTCCGCACCAAGTTCACTCCGGACCAGATCGACAAACTGGAGAAGATCTTCAACAAGCACAAATACCTGGATGCTGGAGAGAGGGTGAAGACTGCGCAGAAGCTCAGTCTCACAGAAACTCAGGTAAGACCAGACTCAATGCAAACACACAGGTTAAAACCCATTTAATGTCCGAGTCTGTAACTCTGCCTCACATCTTATACTGACTTTGTATGTTTGCTTTCTCTCAGGTGAGGACCTGGTTCCAGAACAGGAGGATGAAGCTCAAACGGGAGGTGCAGGACTACCTCGCTCCCCAAGTCCCCCCGGTGATGTTCCAGCATCTACCCGCGGTTCAGTACCACAGCATGGCCCGACAGCCACCCCACTACCCCGCCACAGGCCCGGCCTTTTACCCGCTCCCCGGTCCGCAGCTGGTCCTGCAGCAGCAGATGCCCCCTCACCACCGCATGATCCGCAGCCCACATTTCTACTGAAGAGCTGTCAACTGCAGAGACTTTTCCGACTGAAACACTTAGAATCCAAACCAGTGCAATCCAGAGTTGTTTTATTTGATGTGTGATTTTTATTATATTTGTTATAAAAGTTGTATATAAATTGCAGAAAAGTCTATTTATCGTTGAATAAAGTTTATCTTCTATACTACAGCATTGGACTCTGCATTTTCTTTCTTTGCATACATAACATTTAAGTGATTAGATGCAGGCCTGGCTACAATGGTGGCAACATTGGATATCTTAAAGATAAAGCTGATGATATTATCTTTATTGCAGGATTAGTTCAACATGAATAGATCATCCTCTCTTTAATCTTGAGGTGGGAGGAGGTTGGGAGAAAGAGCTGATAGAGATGGGAGTTGTCCATTAAGGTTAGAGAGTCTTATCTCAACTCATTGTATGGATCTCATCACAGAGGATTGTGTGTATAGTCATAGGAGCTATAAATTCCTGATGAGAGCCAGACATTGTGGTCCCCCCCCTCCTGTCAGCAAAGACTGAGCATATGCTCTGCTTTCAAATGCCTTGTTTGTCCCCCCACCTCTGCACTTCAAACGCCAGCTAACGGGGAGATCATGGTCAACAATTAGTCCTAATTAAGCTGCTCATTGATGAGTTTACACTTACCGCAGGAGCCCTCCGGCCCGGCTCCAGAGAGTCTAGGCTTTTGTGTGGCCAACAAATCTGACCTCTGGTTTGAAGTCTGAGTGTGTGATGAGATTTGGAGATAGCAAACCTGATCCACAACAGCTTTAAGATGATTCAAGGTTCATATACGTGCAAGTTGTACATCTTGTGTTTCTAGATGATGGCGCAGGGTATTCTAATAGTCATTTTATGCCAGGGCAGGGAGATTACCACAATTTTGGTGTAAATTAATTGAGACAATATAATCATCATTCTGCTTTGGGTCCTACAGGTTGTATTGGGTTTGAAGGTGCCCAGAGGCCCTTCAGTAAATGTCTCATTCAAATAAGTTTGCAAGGATCAAACGGAACTTTCTCGCTTTTGTCTGACTGCGGTCACACCCACCATAACAAAGGCTTCATCACCAGATTGTTTCAGACAGCTGGGCGCTTCTGTCTGCGACTGCAAAGGTTAATCACATATCTGACAGCCGGGACTGAGACGTTCTGATTGAAAACTGGTGGGACATTTCGGCGTAATTTTCAGCCCTGATATGACTGAAATATAAGATTATGTGATCATTTATTTGGCCAATGGCACAGCAGGACTCAAAGCCTACTAGATATAGTTCTTTGATTGCTATGGCATTCTGTATTCAGCAGCGGATGTAGGCCTGAATAACTTTATGCAGAGCTGCCAGGTAACTGATACTCAGACTTACTGGCGCCAGAGCATCTCAGCCAGCCATGGACGTGAGAAAAACCACAGCCCAGCCTCTATTAACCTCAATTACAACGACCATCAAGTTTCTATCGTTCCGTTGAGATCCCTTTGCATATGCAAATAAAGACGTGTGCCCCTCCTATATAGTGGCCCGGAGCCACCCAAGGGACAGCGACACACACCTTGAGACCACTGCTTGAATACAACATGGCAAACTTCTCTGTAGAATGGCTTTCCAAAAGTTACTATGAGGAGATGTCTCATTCAAAAGTCCATAGAGAAATGGAAGAACTTACAAAAGCAGCAAGAAGCCAATACTCTCCGACCTCGCCAAACAGTAAGTTCCCTGATACACTCTGTCTCCAGATCGACGGCTCTTTGTGTAGGTACTGATTGTGACTAAATTAATTCAATTCTCTGTTCCTCCTTCCAGATAGTTGCGGTTACACTTCGGGCTCTGAGAGCGAGGTGGGAGATGACAGCGAGGGGGAAGCCACCCAGCAACGAAGGATGAGGACCAAATTCACCTCCGAGCAGATCGGCAAGCTGGAGAAAACCTTCAGCAAGCACAAATACCTGGGCGCTACACAGAGGAGGAAGATCGCTGAGAAGCTCAACCTCTCTGAAACTCAGGTGGGTTTGGGGCGGTGGTTTCAGCGGGTCTCCAAAGGCACTGCAAAGGCCTCTGAATAAGTCACAGCAAAATGAGGACCGGCAGTGTTAGTTTAGGCTAAATAGGCCATGTATTAGTGTGTATTTTTATATAACGCAACCTTCTAACCTAACGTGGGGTCCTAGTGTGTGTTTCCAAACTCAGTAAAAATAATGAATATAATTCACAGCTGAGCATTTTGCGCATTGCTAATGGTTGCCTCGTATTCTCTCAGGTGAAAACGTGGTTCCAGAACAGGAGGATGAAGCTGAAACGGGAGGTCCAGGATCTGCGTCCTGAGTTTCTGTCTGTCCCGGCCGGTCTGCTGCCGCCTCTGCTGTTTCAGCACCCCGTCCTGAGTGGACAGCTCCCCGCCGGCAGCGGCTTCTACCCGCAGCTGCAGCCGCTCCACAGGACGGTCCTGCCCGCTGCACTTCTGCACCAGCACCGCTCCCACCCCCCGGCCATCCTGCAGCCTCCACACTTCTACTGAACGCGGCCCCTCCGCCTCCCCCCCAAAATATGTTTTTGTCTAGAATCTAGATATTTTTCCATCTCTCTCTCTCTCTAAAAGAGGGGTTTAAAAGTTGTTGATATAGTGAATATAATAATTGCCTTTAATATGTCTGAAGCACTATAGTATATATTGACGTTACTTGTATGTATGATTAATGTAATGTAAATATATTTGCTGCAAATGTTCTATGTTTTATGTGACAAATAAAACAAAATCAAAGAATACACTGCACTTGTTTGTCTTTCGTCAAAGTTGCTTAGAATATTAACAATGTGTTCTCATTTATCCTGCTGAATCTTATACAGGCAGCTTATTAAAACGCACATTTAACCAACCATAACATATAAACGTTGTGCCATTGAGTAGCCTACACAGTAGTAAAGTGTAAAGTAGAGCTTTTTAATATTTTATTCGTTTTCTCTTTGAAATGATAAATCAAAGTTTTCAAAAGAGGATTTTACCTTTCCACTGTAACTAATGAAAAGTGTAAGTGAAAACACAAGGCTGGCAATGAACTCTGGGTAAATATGGAGGCCAAGTCATTATAACCATGACTAAATAGGGAGTTCCCGTGTGTTGCCATCTGTTGCAACACTGACGTTAACTGTAACAAAAGGAACAAATGGCGCAGTTCGTTTCCACCATACTGTGAACATGTTGTGTTTTATTCCCACTCTTTCTACCTCTCCTTCTTTTTCTTTGAGGAAACTTCACAGTGGCCATAGAGGATCGTTGAAAATCAGTTTTGTCACACTCCAAGCCGCTTATTTGTTAGAATATCTACAGGCACATATCACACAAACCAGTTCAGGGCATCCAAGGCCCCTGACACCAGCCAGTGGCCCCAAAGATCCTGTCTCCGGCTGCTGCAGGCAAATATTTTCATTTGGCCTCCGGTGGCATGGCTCCAAGCTGTGATTGCTCTCCGCTCGTTGTAGATTTACATCTTCAAAGGGACATCAAAGCGGAGGTAACCGCAAGATCATTGAGATCCATTGAGCTCTATTGTCTCCCGATTGAACAATTCGCACTTACTCGAGAGACGCTGAGGGAGCGGCGCCCTCAAGTCTGCCTGAGGTGTATATTGCCTCACGTTAAAGTCATTAGGTGGCACCAGCTAAATAGGTAACTGATTGAGTCACTCTGTCATAAAGCGGAGTATGCCTTGTTCAATTTATGATTTGCAATTCGGATTCAGAGCAGGAAGTCCCTGCTGGCGGGCTGATTACATTCACTGCAGGTTATCAGACACTGGCATATGCTGCGTCATTCAGATCTGGACTCCTCTGGCAGGTTTTATGTTTAGCAGCCACATACCTGGAGTGAAGGGAGGTTTGGGGTTATTCAACAGGGCCTACTCCCCTGCATATACAAGTACACTTAAAAAGAAAATAAATACTGACACCTCCCACCAGGAGGCACAATTATCAAAGGAGACGATTAGAATTCCATGCACCGGTAACTCCTATAATGAGAAGAACATTATTCATTTAAAGGCTTACTGGACCATATATCCATTTATGCAGCCCTCTATACAAACCACCAGACAGTGCGAGGCCTCAGTCTGCAGCATTAGCTTGAGTTGTTCCTGGCACTAATGGCAACATGAGCATCAATAAATGATCCATTGTGTGAGAGCAAAGAATCAGTGGCTTGAATGACAATGAGTGTTTCACTGATCCTTTTGAGTCAGGTGAGTGGCTAGGTGAAGAGGTGCTAACAGTCTCACAGAAGCTGCAGCTGGATGGCAGCAGACAGACTGGAGCCAAGGATGGATGATGGGGAGAAGCCAAAGGTTGCCACTAATTCTATCTGAGGCATCAGCTGATGACTATAGTGATGGGATTAAGTTTACAGTACGTTCCTTTAGGGATCTACACATAGATTTATAAGAATTGGGGATTGATGTAGATTTTTAAGAAATGTTTAGACAATTCTGAAAATGTTTGGACAGTTATGCCTTTAAAAATCTAGTCACATATGGTAGTTTAGTTGAAGTTTGTCAGTGGTGGAAATGTTCAACGTAGGCCAACTCAAGTAATGTGCTTAAGTAGGTTTAAGGTACATGTACTGTACATTTCAGGGAAATCTTATCCTTAAAACTTATGGTAAGGGTATACATAAATGATCATGGATTCATGCATGACATAGTACAAGGATAATTCATTAACTGCTGCAACGAGATATTTTAATCATCATGACTTCTGAGTTATTAATGATGGTCATGTCTTCTGTATTCTGTTGAATTCCAAGTGTTGTAATCATGATTAATTAAGTATTACTTATTTATTAGCTCATCATATTTGTGGTCCTTCAAATAAAGTCAGCCCTTCTGTCTATTCAGTCATCATATGGAAACATTGCAATGCAAATTAGATCATATCTGGGCATTATACAAATTATAGATTGTTTATTTAGGGAAATAAAATGTTGTATCGTGTATGCATAAGCAGCAAATTGTTAAGATGTGTGATTTCACAATGGAGCCAGCATTAATCCTGTGTTAAAGATGGACCGGGTCCCCACTTCATTTGAAGGGCCACAAACATGATGAAGTCATGAAAAAGTACTGATTAGTTCATCATGATTACAGCATTTGGAATTCAACAGAATACATGTGCACTGCTGTGACTGGTTAGTTTTTTGGCTGTGCCAAAACATCATTAATAACTCAGAAATCATGGTGATTTGAATACCTCAGTTGTATCATTAATTAACGTTTTGCTCTTGCATTAAGTCATGCATGAGATCCTGTTAACTCTTGTACGTTCCTGATAGTTTACATGAATTAATTCATGCGTTTTTCATGTATGAAGTCATTAAATTTCATGTGCTCTTACCATAAATTGTTACCATACTTTTTACTCAACTGTATCTATGTGTTAGATTACTTTGCAGGTTAAAAGTCTACATAAAAAAATTGCATGGTAAGTTTATATTATTATCTTATATTATACAATGCATTGCTGACAATTAAATCAGTGTGCTTCTCAACGTTTTCGGCTTGTTGCCTTCAAAAGCAGCACCACCTAGGAAATGTTTCCCCTCTAAATATTTCAGATGGTTTAATTTAAATAAGTATTTGAGGCCCAAAGAGGTCAAATGATCTGATATTTTACCAAAAGAAGACCTGTGATCTTTGTAGTAGAGCTTTTCTTTTATCTTGTGACCCTTTGGAGGGGCCCGACCCCTAGATTGGGAACCACTGGACTAAACTATACCGAACTGTATATAGAGTAGTGAAAAGTAGCTTCACCTCTTACAACTACAGCCGTAAAATGCTACCTTTATGCACTTATTCATCAACAATCTGATAATGTCATATGTATCTGTCACAACGACTTTCCTGCAGAAAGAGTATTTTTCACCATTGATTCTTTAAGTATATTTAGCTGCTAATACTGCTAATACACTTTTACTGAAGTGAGATTTTGAATGCAAAATTTTTACTATTTTTATATTGTTGGTAATTTCACTTAATGATCATCCAACACTGACATCTTCATCTTAAGCGTGAAAAGCATATAAGAACAAATGGAAGCTTTAGTAGACCATAAGGTATTTGGTGGTGACACACTGGGAAGTTTTGGAAATGTATAATGACAACACTTTTAGCGGCAAACAAAAAGGTAAAGAATATTGTAGAGTTAAAATGTTCTTGTTTTTATGGGATTAAAGCAGCTATACTGAGGCAATTTCTGTTGCCCATCAGAGTTGTCCAAAAAATCTGCCTAGTGTCTTACCACCCTAAGTAATTTATGTGCAAGTAAAATGATTTAAAGATCCCATTACTAACAGTCTAAAAGGTCAGAATACATGAATGTCAAATCCAGTGTTTCATGCAGAAATTATGTCTTTATTGAAAAACAACAGCAAACAGAAGCAAACAGATGTTTTAAATGAACAATAATGTAACAGAAATGCAATATCAAACGCACAATGTCATCATAAATGAATATGGTGAAATGAGTCATAGTATTACATTCAAACTAATCACAGTGACACAAAAATCACCTGTGGTCTTGAATTTTTTAGTTTTGCTCTCTTCCTCTGTACAGTAAGTCCATGAGAGGCTGGAGCCCCACACTGTGTGTGAGTGTGTGCTTTGAGGTCAGCTGTCATGCTGAGAGGATGATGAAATGGCTGTCTGCCTGGTGGAATACCTCTGCAGCCCCATTTTCCCATGCCCTATGCCTCTTTAAAGTTACATCTGAAAAAGGTATATGCATAGGAAAAAGGAACAGCGAGTGCAAAGAGCTCTGTTGCCCGGTCGCTGCACGCTGTAGCCTGGAGGACAGAGAGGAGAAAAGCTCTGTCAGTTACATGACTGCATGTACAACACAAGTAATAACTCACATTTCACTGTCTGACTGGGTGAGATCGCTTGACAGGTTTTGCTTGTTGAATCTATAAATGAAACAAAACGCATATTCTATAAAAGAACAAGTAAAGTTTAGATGACATTTTCTAGCTTCTAACAATTTTCTAAAAGTAGAAGAATCACTTTCCGAAATGAATGAAGCGTGAAGAGGACTTACCCTGCAAAGCTCCAGATGAGTCTCTCCTGGGAAGGCACCTCCTCTTGGGCATTTATCCCTCCACTGGGACCTTGAAGATGTTTGAGAAAGACAAAGTAGCTGTTGTCTGTGCTCGCTCAGCACTTATCTTCCCTCTTGGTTTCAAGCCATGGCGACACACCTGTGGACGCCACAGATGGAGTCTGGATGAAAAAAAAACAAAAAACCTGCACTACACTACACTGATACACATAGCTCAGATGCCTTTGCAAAGTTCATTGTCTGTTATGCCCCAAATCCCTCTGGTTAACAGTCAACTTGTTACAGTTATTATCTCCTATCTGGCACATGCTGCAGACGTCAGAGGCCGAGCGTGGAAGAAGGGAAACGTTCAGAACGGCTCGTTCCTGCCGGTGGAGAAGTTTCTTATCTGTTCAGGGTTTTTCGCTCCCTTTCCCGCTCCCAGAAGAGGGGCCCCGTGCTTTTTAGCACTCAAGGTCTCCAGACAAGGACTCTCAGGGTGTGCTGAAGTGAGACACACACACACACACACACACACAGGCTGTGCAGTGTGTAGCGCAGGGAGTGTTGTGGCATGTCAAGGCCAGTGCAACCAGCCGAAGATGAAACTGTGCTCTTTTCTCTGAACCTCTGAGTTTGCACCGTTAAGAGCAGCAGTCATACATCACAGGCTTTAGTAAAGGCAG